AATTTAAACAAATCATGATCCAAGTCTTTTTAGACTAGTGTGAATTAAAATTATCAGTCTTTCAAGATTGTGTGAATTAGATATTATCAGTTCAGAAAATTGTGTAATCAGAAGTTACCTTCTTTCTGATGGCACCACTATATTATGGCACTGCCATTTACTTGACATATAGACAAAAGGCAGAAAGATTACAATGGTTTCATAATTATGCATCCTTTTGCAAGATATTCTAATACACTTGCACATAGATAAAATTTAGGGATTTAATTTTAATTTTTTAGCACTTTATTAAAAGAATAACTTAAAAAGCTTGATCCAATTTTTACCTACAGTTCAACTAAAGAGAAAAAATTCCAAGTGGACTCAGAATTTGACAACAACGAGCAACAAAGTTTTCATCAAATGCTAAAAAAAAAAAAAAAAAAAAAAAAAAAAAAATCTCCAAAATTTCTAGAAGAAAATCTACAAAAGTATTTACAAAATCTCCACAGTTAATCCACTCTCTCCTTGTTTAGCTTCATGTATGATGGTTTATCAGACCTGTTGACCAATAGGTCACTTACCTCACAAGAAAACTAATAGCCATGTCATACTAACCAATATTACTTATCAGATTAACCAATTCCAAGCTTCCAACAGAAAAGAGAACTTAGTTAGGGAAACCAGGCCAAAATGTAAGTTAAAACAGTTATTTAAACAATGTTGCAGGACAGCACACTCACCATCACTGCCATCTTTCATCTGGACAAATCAAGGTTGCCCAAAGGATGACCTGGTTCAAACATGAATATGTGTTACTATTACAGAAGCATTTCAGGATTCTGGGTTCTTGTAAATATTTAAAATTTGGAAAATATTTGTAAGAGCATGCATTTTTGGTAGGGATGGGGGGGGGGGGGTAACTTTCCTTGGGCAACTTTCATATTTTGATCTGTTCCTCATTCAACTTTTTTAGGATTGAATTTTCATCATCAAAAGAAGTATAAAGACTTGAAGTGATTTTAATGATGTTCAAAATTACCATTCCTAACTGCTGATTGGAGATTCAAATCACATCTGACAGAATATCAAGATACCTACTTTCTCAATCTCTCTGTTTTACCCATGTCTGTCTGTAACCTAAATATCTTAAGAAGCCCATGGGTCAAAATGCTTACCTGAGTATATGTACTTTGTTAATTTAACCCCCCCCCCCCCCAAAATCTTTTTGGACTTGTTGGATAATCATCTGAGGAATAAACATGGTCTTATGAAAAAAGAACCAACAAGGTCTGATATAAAATAAAGTTTCCTGGGAAACAACTTGGCAAAGTTGACTTTGATGACGAAATGAGAGAAATTTTTTTCAGGAATTCATCTTACAATATCCTATATTTTACTCATTTACTAGATCTATGCACATGCTGGTTTTTTGAGATCTTTGATGGCAGTAAACTTGAAGTCTATGGTTTAAACAATATTTACCTGCAGTACATAACCTAGGCTTAACTGACCGTTTTTGGTACAGGGTCCAGTACCCTTTCAATTGGGAATTCTAAATCAAAATGTGGCACAAATTGGAAATTTTAATGTCTTATATTAAGTTTTACTATTGAATAAAGAGTTAAATTGAAGGCTTATACACTATTCAGATCTTTCTGATCATTAAAATATCAAAAAAATTTTTCCCACTGAAAAATTCAATCTGCTTGTCATTTGAGGATTTTTACCATAATTTGGGGAAAAAGTAAAAGAGTCCCTTTACTGGACCTGGATGCAAGGGTTATTAAGCCAGGATGACTGCGTCTTGTCATAAAGTTTACAAATTGTAGCATTATTATCATTTTAGAAGTCTTTAAATCTCTGTAAAATAAACAGGGCTTTCGAAAAAAGCAGTACTTAAATAGGAGGTACCTTGTGGTAGGGTTTTTAATTAAAAATACTGAATTTTTCTCCATCAAATAATTTGGGCCAGTACAATCATGATTTCAGCCAGGTAAAAGTATCGGATACCAGCAGATTTTGAAAGGCCAGTAATAAATCTGTGAAAAAATATATAATGTCAGTTTCCTTACACTGACTCCTGGGGCCATGACTTTCACAAACTTAACAATAGAGAATGGAAAAATTTATTGTTTCCACGATTTAAAAAAAATCTTGATGACTTAAGACTTGGCCCATATTGTAGCCCTACTCTAGCCAAAAAGACCTAAATTTCAATAAATCTGAATATGAAATTATGTGAGTCTACTTGTATATCAATCTGATTGTTGCCTTTATAATCTGGAGAATTTTTTTTAAAAAAATATTTCCTTGTAACCTTCTGAACTCTTCCTGCACCCTCCTCTAATTCATGGGCCACAATTTAGGGAAATTTGAAATCTATCTTCATGTAGATTTTGTAATTTGTCTCATTCTGGTTGTGTTTTTGCCTATGATGGAAATTTAATAGGACTCATATATATTATAAACTTTATATAATTACTGCTTTTCTTAAGGTCAAAAACAATGATTTAGCCACCTGGGGAGTACAATATTCACTGAGCCCAAATGGCAAGGTAAATAATGTATAAATTTTGAATGGGGGGGGGGGGGGTTAAAAAAATCAACACATTACCTGAAAAATTTTTGACTGGCTCCCCCCACCCCCAATTCTATGCCTGAATGTTATGTGCACCTGCATGGAAGTTGCAAGTGAAATAACTTTCCAGAACTATCTGTATCCATTTGGAAGTTCTCAATCTATTTTTTCAGTCCAACAGGAAATATAATTCCATATGTTCACCTGTTAGGTCAAGTGCAAGTGAACATAATGTAGTATTTTTTTTATTATTGGATCACAACCAATCAGAGAGCTAGGAATTATTCAATCATATAATAATACACAATAATTTGCACAAATTTCAATGAAATTTTCTGGAAATGTGTTCCCTTACTTGGCTGTAGCTGTACAGTAATTGTTTACCCCGTGTTAGAATCAGGTATAGGTGAATAAGATAAATGATTGTCAGAAAACTGAATGTTTGAGGAAATTGAATTCTGAGACCTCGGTAGACCAATGTAAACTGAGTTGTGTTCTTTGCAGGGTAAACCAAAAGGAAAGGTTGAAATTTAAAATGTTTGTCAAAACCGGCAAAGATTCGAATGAGCATATTTTTCATATATCTTAACAATATTTCTTTTCTTCTTGCTACCGAACATTTTGGTGTGCTGTAATAAATTCAAAGTTTTAATTTTTTTTCCCATTGTATGAGGAGCCCCATTCAGGGGCAGTCAAAATACAAGATGCACACCATTCTTTATGCCAAATGATAAAAAGTTAGGAAGAATACTGTAAGAATGCTATATGGGTGGTTCCTCAAAGATAGCCATCAAGGGACATACTTTTAAACAATGTACTCTTCCTCTTGATAATCATCACATTAAAACCCGGTAATACCCAACTTCATAATGTCAAGGTTTTGATATTCTCTACATAACTTCACAATGTCAAGGTTTTGTGATATCGTTCATCTACACAACTTCATAATGTTAAGGCTTTGTGATATCGTTCATCTACACAACTTCATAATGCCGAGGTTTTGATATTATTCCTCCTTATAACTTCACAATATCAAGGATTTGGTATTTTTTCTCTATACAACTTTACAATGTCAAGGTTTTGTGATATCATTCATCTACACAACTTCACAATGTCAACGTTTTGACATTTTTCCTCAATACAAATTCACAATATCAAGGTTTTGATATTGTTCCTAGGGTATTTTGGTTTAATTGGAATGAATGGAATACATGTCTATCCAGTTTACTTTAAACTTTTAGAGAAATGGATAGCAATGCAATATATCACAATATTTATCACAATACGCCATCAAATATTGCAATATATTTCTGGTGATACCCACCCCTATTACTGCTTTAGTTTCAAACGGTTGTGAAACATTATGAAATAAATTCTGATTATGTAAACTTGACCTTTGAACAGTAGATTTTACTTTGTCAAATATGAGCTATCATGTTTGGTTTAAAGGTCAGACAGTTTTTTAACAATTTGAAATCATCAAAATGATTTTAGAGTCATTATAATATCAATTTTGTTCATTTATATTCCATTTCAAACCACAAGAAGATTAAATAAGAGTTAGAGTCAGTGATTGGGAAGGGCTTGCGCCATAGTCGCATTAAAGTGAAAAAGGCGCATTAAATCAATCAATGGCGGCGCCAAGGTGCGCATTCAATTTTTAGCAATGTTAGTTGGAAATATTTTGCGTACAACTTTCTTACTTGTTTTACTCTCGTTTTAAATGAAGTTGATTTTAAAACAACAAATCTCATTGGTTAAACCCCGTCAAAAACTGAGATTACGTGCACTACTCCACGCACCTCTAGGGTAGAGTGGTGCTGAATCGAAATGTTGACGTTATTTAACCAGATATACGGGTAAATTATATCCTGTGTGGGTTCCTTTAAATTTGCTGCATTGCATATGTGGAAAAATTAGATTCAGTTAATAAAAAACGTGTTTTCTTTCGTATTTCATATCTGTTTGTCATTTTTGTTATCACTTGAAATGGCTCTTCAGAATTTAAAGATGGCCCATTTATTTTCAAAATGGCCCATTAAAAATTTTGACAGGTGCGCCATAGTCCCATTGATCTTCTTGGCCTTCCCAATCACTGTAGGGTTGCTTAAAATTACTTTGTTACTTCCATTATCTGTTACACATCTTTGATAATTCTGCACCCTGTAGTGCATCTAGACAACCTACTGCTTAAAGCAGGTATTTGTTTTTCAGGATGTTCATTATAAATGTACTATACTGTAGTAATTCCTCGCCTTCAAATTTCTGCCCCTTTATACAAGAACAACCTATTTCTTAGTCTTGATTGTGTCATATTCAGTAGCAACTTAATTGTTTCATAACTGACTATATCTCAATATGAATCTTTGCATCAGTATCTTCAAAGAGCTTATTATCAGGATCACCACTGATCATGAATTAAACACAAATCTGTACTTACCATATCACCATCTTCAGCATTCTTTTTATTTCCATTCCAACTAGACGAACTTCCCTGAAAGCCAAATTTAGCCATGTGTCATTAAATTAGCATCTAAACGGTAAGTAGTATATGTGCGAAATAAAATTATCATTGTAATTCTGGGCACTTGTGAGAAATGAAAGAAACAAAATAATCAAAACCAAATCCATTTCTCGATTTTTAACTACCGGTAAGATATTTAACTGTTGCATCAATATAATTTTTTTAAAGTTCAAAATTAAGAGTCAAAATTATACAACTTGCGATCAAAACCAACATAATGACTTGTATTCCTTAAATTCGGACTTCAAGCTGAAGTCTAAAATGAGACTAGCACTTCTGGATTGTACTAATATTATGAGAAAGTGAAATAACCCCTCTTTCCAACAAGTTCTTTAATCTCCAGTGGAACACACAGTAGTGTTACTATTGTTTCTTATTAGGCATAATAAAAATATTTGTTACCCGACCCACCCAAATACTTTTTTAGTTGTAAAATCCTCAAATTGCACGTCTATATATTTTTATCAAACATCACAGTTTAAGAATCGTAAGGCCACGTTTCATAGCAGTTTTAGGAGCAGTCAGGTAGATTTTACAGTTAAAAGAAGAGAACTTCAAATTTACTATCTTGAAAACAATTGTTTTTCAAATTTGCCTTTTATATATATATAAAAAAAATTATACATCAATTTTTTTTTTAAATCCTATCCATCGACCCTCCTCTTTATTAGCATGAAGTGGTAAACAAGCATTTTTGTAGGGCTTTATTTTGTTTTGACTTCAAAATTGTTGGGCTGATTTTATCAAAATTTTCTGAGTAGATCCTCTGATGAAGTTATTTTATCTTTAAGAAACTTTAAATTTTTTTAATCCTGATTTGCACCTTGTTAAATTATCATACATCATTCTTTTTTTCTTTCTTTTTTTTTTCAAATGCAAAAGTGTCAATGGTAAATTGGTAAGACTTTTTTTCTTAGCATTTTTAACATATATATAGCCATAATTAACTCTATAAGTGTCCAGGGCTCTTCAAAAATTGGGAGAAGAGGCAATAATCTTCAATGTCACTTAGTACTTAAATTATTACTTAAAATGCCAAAAATTTAGTTTGATTGTGTTTTCTTTACATCCCTTTAAGAATTTTCCCCTCTAACAGAACACCACCATTTGCCAGTGGAAAATTGCAGATTTAAACCTGTACTCTGCATTTATGGCAATTGAGGAATCTTTTCCATGCCAGATTCTACTGTGACACAAGACCCCAGTTTAGATGGTCTCATCTGAAGGACCTGTTTCCACGTCCTGCAGTGGGATTTGAACCCAAGACATAAGGATCAACCCCTTACTATGCAACTCTAGATCCAATCAATTTAACCACTGCACCACACCAGCAAATGAAGATGTTTACCTTTTATCTCAATGGCTTTAATAAACAAAAGTGTTTTATTTTTCCTTCAGTAAAAGAGATATTTTCTGAAAGCTAATTATGTATATTTCACAAATATCTCTGTGGTCCCTTAGTCACTGGACAGTGAATACTTTTTCTGGATTGTTTCATTCTAAGAAGTTCACCATTTAAGTGTATGTCATGGTTTGTTTTATATACACATTACAAAATGACCTATGGACAGAGAAGTATACAAAACTTAAAAAGTTTTCCAAGCTTGTGGTCCAAATTACTAAACGCTAGAAATTCTTTTAAATCCAGTTAGCAATGGCTGCAATGCTGTGCTCTATTAAGAGTTTTTCGGCCACTTACAGATGGACTGGGTTGCTGCTGTTGCTGAGCTCCGCCAGGTGTGTTTTGTGGGGATGAAGATCGTGAAGTTGGTGTTGGCTGACGTCGTAGAGGTGAGGGTGAAGCTTGACGATGATGGGGAGAATCGTTAGGCATGGGGGAGGTGATTCCACCTGGAGGGGGTGGGGTCAGTCCTGGAGGCTGCCCAGATGACATCTGCGGATTCTGAAATATTAACGGTTATTACGATTTCATGACTAGAGATGCACATTAAAATAACAAACAGCTGATAATGATGCACCAAGAGAGATTGCACACCCCTGATTTCTAAATATACACATGATAAAGAAGTATATTATAAAAATAATTCAGAATCATGAATCTCCAACAAGGCATAAAACCTTTATAAACATAATAATCATCTTTCTTTCCCCCCTTACAGAAAAAATAAAATTTGTCCTATCTATATGAAAATACATCAATTTCTGGGACAGAAAAAAAAAACACACACAAACACACTCATACATGTATGAGAAGTCAACTGTAGGGGCAGTCAATTCCTTACTACTTGCTTTTTAGTTTATATGATGGAAAACTTCAACAATACCACACTTAAACTTACTGAATGGCCAAATCCTGCATTTGGTATGTTGGCTTGGCCTGGCCGGGTAGGTGCACCCATACTACCATAACGGGAATTGGGGGAATATTGCCCCGCACCATACTGACTTTGTGGTGGCATTTGGTAATTGGAAGGGGAGTAACCACCTCGTGGTTGGTTTATATCAGACATGTTCTAAATAAAATAAAATATCAATTCTTTAACCTTATCATTTCAATACATTTTTTGCGATCAAAGTTAAAGATTGTAAATACCTGTTACTTTAAAGAATACTGCTTAAAGCAATTTCATAAAGTAAGTGTCCCTTTTGAATTATGATTATATAAATACAAGCAGGCTTTTTATTAAAATGACATCTTGATAAATATTTCCAGGGATTTATCAGTACCTTCTCAGGGGCCAAAATTCAGCCCCATTCCAAATTGAAAATGAGTTCAATTTTTCCCAATTTGACAGTATTTTTTCCCAATTGGTGAACAATGCTCTTATATTTAATTATCTTGGAAAAACACTAACTAAAATTGTCAAATTGTCTATAATTTTCCTATATTTAACTCATTTAGCAAAGCTACAGTTATAACATATTTAAAAAACTGTAAGCATCACTGAGTTTTAATCCGAATTTCCTCTGTTTTTTTAAAAATGGCAATATTGTGTAATAACATAGATTATATATATAATTTATTAAGTTATTTCCACCTACTCAATTGATCTATGAGTGAATGATAAGAACTGTAAGCATTATTTCAGATAGAAAAATATATTTTCAATGCATTTTTACATATTAAAAGGGGACTTTAAGAAAATGTGTACTTTTATTAGTACAACTTTTTTGCAGGAGGGGAGGTTTATAATCTCCAGAAACAGATTCTAATGACCTATATTGAAATCTCATACACATATGTACTACCCTAAGTTGTATAAATACTTTGTACATTACTCATTGAAGTCAAATTTAGTTAGTCTATTCAGGGGTTGAAATATATATGGTAGCCCGACGCCCAGGGCTAGTCATTTTCAGACTTGGGTTAGCTAGTTTAAATGTAACAATAGTCTGTCGGACTAGCAGACTGGAAAAAAAAATTCGTCAGTTTACTTTTGTTTTTCTATGTAGACTAGTTTCTTTTGACTGAGAACTAGTTTAATTTGTTACCAAAAAGTTTGAAATTTTAGCTTGTTGCGTTTTCATTTTGCATAAAAAAAATTGTTGCACTAGTTAGAGGTTTGGGCTAGGAATTTTTTACTGATCAGTATAGCCCCTGGGCTAGTGGGTTTTCCAGGAAATTTTCAACCCCTCCTACTATTCAAAATTGATCTTGTATCATATTTACTTGTTAGGTACTCAAATTAGAGTTCATGCTAAAATGTTTAATGAATTACACCTGAATACATGATGTAAGCAAGATTTTTATTTTTTTCCAATTTCATCAAATAACCAATAATTTTTTCCCAATTCCCTTAAAATGGTGTTTCCCAAAATAGGCTGATAAATCCCTGATTTCATTGCCACAATGCCTTTCAATAATCTGTTTTAATTAAACCCTTTCTTTCAACTTTTAACTGCTGATAAATCTAAACTATCTAGACACAATTTCTGAAAAGCACATGGCTAATCACCATAATGACTATTGTGAGAGAGTAAATAATTTCTTCAGCGTATATCAGGGGTCGTCTCAAAATCTCAGCTTACTGATGTTGTAAATGGAGTCAATACCCTCAACCATTCAATTATGTAGACACTCTGTTTACAAATAAATTCATCCTTTACATTGCTGGCATGTTTGCATATTCACCCATTTCACTATTGTGTGCTCTAATAACAAATTATACTTGTTGCTCACTAACATAAATTTATGGAATGGTTTTATGTTTACATTTGTAAAAATGATTGTGACATCTGCCCTCTCGACAGATTAGTGCATGAGGTCATTCAGTGCTCCAAATGGGATAAGGAACTATTTTCTTTTATCATATGCAAGATCTACCTGTAATTACACCTGACAAATCTATTCTCACCTGTGATAACTGGGCCGTTTCTGAACTGATACACATTCTATCAAAGTACATACATATACATACACATATGTTCAGTTCTTCAGAATTAACTTTCATACTGAACAGTTATTAAAACTGTATGTGCAACAAACAATGCGTACAACACAATAATCCGAATCCTAATGACCAAACATAAATAAATCACAGTGTTCAACAAAGCTCACTTGTAATTCAATATGAATGCACTCTATATATATATATATCTAAAGCTACTTGAAATTCAGTCTTAACCGTTTACATTTCTCCAGGAACCTAATCCTGGAAAACATCTCCATCTTTTAATGCTTCCATCATAATGCATAAAAAAGAACACAAGTTTCATCCACTTTATCAAGGACTCATAATGTATTAATCATAACATATGTAATCATTTTACAAAGGGTATGTTTCCCTAAATGCTGAATTATCCTTACTTTTGCAAATTATCAAAAAATGATTATTTTTTCTCTCCAGATCCTTGCTAGGTTTTGCATAATTTATATCATGGAGGAAGTGAAGCATATAATAGTAGTAAGTGGTGCAAGTGGTCTCCTAAGTGTACATAATCATACTGACCTTCTATAATGACGGAAAATCCATAATTTTTATTTTATAATTGGTAATTGAATATCAGAAGTCCAAAAATTGATAATTATAATTGAAAAGCTCGAACTTTTTCCTCACCCAAATCATTCATGTCTTAAACAACTTCATATAAACATTCGCTCCTAGTTTTGAGTTTACATTGACCTTGCAGTTTGTACAGGCCAGTGGGGAAAAAAGGTTTTGGTTAGGACTGTGTACAAAAAAACAACAGCATCCTAACTTCTGTCTTCAATTTCTATCAACTCCACTTATATTTAAATCTTACTGTCATATGGTACCACTATACTGTTCCTTACAAGTAAAGAAAATATCACCATGTATGAAGTTACTTCATTAAAATTTTTTTCTAAATTAAATTATTGATATTGTAATCAATAATTGACATCAGATGACCTTTAGTCATGGACTTTTGAATCGACAATCAACCCTTTATTAACCTTCAGAATCCAAAAAAATTCACAGATACTAGAATGGGTATTGCCATTTCGAACTGCGATTTATCACAATTTACTTCAAAAATATCATGATAATATGATAGTTTTACATGCTATTTTTAATACAATTTGAAATTATTTCAATAACTTTCTTACAAATATATGCTGTGAAAGCATAATTTTACTTTTTTTCATTTTATTTAAGGGTATATAATTTTTGTATTTAATTCAACAATGGAACAGAATTGACTTCAATTGAGTCAGTTGACAAGCACAATTAATAAATTAAACATCTGATGATTTTTAAGTTTTTTACAAGTTTTAATTAAATATGTATGTTAGGATACCGTTGTTTTTAACATTTTTTATATTTGTTAAAAATTTGAATTCAAAACCTTGAACAAATAAATGTATTTACAAAATTCATCATTTAGTTGGAAATTACGGTATTTTTTTGTCTTTGTATCATTTTTATATGTATCATCCAATTAAAAAAGTGATGATATATCAGTAAGCAGATAAAATTGCACATCCCTAATAAATATATTGTGTATGCACTTAATGACCCTAGTCTTACTGACCATTTCCCTGCAATGTTTGGGGGGAAAAAATCATGTACATTAAGTATGTACATAGAATTGTACTGAATATGCTTTTAAATAAGGACATCATTTCAAGAAAAATTTAATAATCAACATTCAACCATTAAATAAAATAATTCCTTTCTCTTGCTACTTAGAATCTTTATTAATGGATTTATTACTACTATTGTACTTCTGAATTCCTAATCTGACACAACATTACCGTAAGTATGTATCAAACAGGAATGAAATTAGAAAATGGGTCAAAACAAATTTTAACACAAATTACTTTTTCAACATCTGTCATTCAATAATCTAATAAATTGTGACAAGTTATACATAATCCATTAACCAATAATTCAGAATAAAGGGACCTCAACACTGGCAATCAATCAATGCAGATTCGTAAATTGCATTGGCTCTTTCTCTAAGGAAAAAAAAAATGCCACCAAATTCAAATACTAATTGCTACAGAGATGTAAACACATGTTGAAATGGAAGCGTAAACAAGGCATTGTCAGTGAGTGCATTGCCATTGATACTAGACCTACTTATCTTCCTAGCCAATCTGCAAATGGGAAGGTTAGTGAACCTTAATTATGTAACAGATTGATAAGCCATAATTTCAGCATTTGGCGGGGATTATGAATCTGTGAACTGTCAGTGATTCCTTTTCAGTGATAATAAGAAAGAAAATGATCATACCTGTCCTCTGAACCCCGGCCCTGGACTGTTCATGGAACCGGGGTGGTACCCCATGGGTCTCTGATGACCTCCCCAGGGCTGCTGCATGCTGTAAGCTGATGGATTACTCATGTCATTCATTCCTTTCTGAGGATATTCACCATAGTTGTTGGGCTGCATTCGTTGCGACGTGCTGGATGTAGACTGAGTCTGTAAAAGTTGATTGAGAGTAGGAGTGGGGCCACTTTGTTGTGATATACTTTGCCCCGACATACGTTGTTGATATGGGGGCATCATTGGGGCCCCTGGATTACCCATGCCCGCCCTCATCCCAGGCTTCATACCCATGGGCATGCCTTGTCTAGGGTACTGTCCCTGAAAGTTTGCGTTTTGATTCATATAATCCGAACTTCCTGTCGCTCCGCCATGTTGTTCACCAGGGTTAAAATTTTCACGATTATAAGGGCTGTAGCCCTGCATTTGACTAGGATGAACGTTTTGATTCATTCTACCATAACCTTCCATACCTATCGAAGATGGGGGATAATTGTTCATATCTGCATTCATATGAGAACCATCCATGAAATCGCCTTGTGTCGAGTTCATGTTTTGTTGGCCACCATCTTGAAACGAGTCCATTGTGTTCGTTTCACCAACTTGATTCGGTGATCTAAGTTTTTTGTTCATCATAACGCGACTTAGTCCTTTAGCAGGACTGTCATTCTCCGTGTAAACACTTACCAAAACTTGGTGACAGTCGGCTGAAGTCCGATCTATCCAAGTTTTTGTCCTTTTTGTTTCCACAGTGAAGTTGTTTTCGCATTATGCTGTCTACCCACCCAAAGTAAGGACGACTTGGTCGTCGTCACTCATTTTTTCCACGTTTCCTTAGCACACACAATTAGTTTTCAAACGTCAACACACGTGTTTTGTTGAATGTAAGGCTACTGTGGGGAAAACTTAGTCGGATGGCAGCATGGTCTTATCATACTTAATGCTTTTATTCTACACTTCACTTAGCGGGAATATCAGAAGAATCAAATAAATTCATACGCATTTTCAACTATGTTATATGCATGCATTCAAACCAGCTATTTAGACGCCTGTCAATTCATAAAAGTTCTCTGAATCATTTTCTGATCAAAAACTCACATTTTCATCCGGTGATATTCCCTCAAACAAAACAGGGATTTCTTTTTCTTAGATTGTCCACTGAGCGGATAAACACGAAACTTGGGTAGTGATACGGCTCAGGCATTCTTTTCAATACCGCTGTTTCAATTAGCTGTTGCATTTTACTCCCTCTCTATCACATGTTTTTATTTTCAGTTTCTATTTACATATGCCCCTCCTAGAAATCCTTTCTTGATATTATTTTATTTTCATAATTTTACAAAAATTTTAAGACGCAAAAAAGACATATTCGATGGACTTTAAATTCAATTCTTAAATATTCTTCTGGGAAAGGGCGTAAATTGAACTCGCCAACACTGCTTAGGGCTTTTCAAAACTGACGTCAATGAGACGGCAAGTCTAGTATTATTGAGCACGCTAAGGCGAATCTGTTGGTTTTTGCCTTTCGTTAATATGCGTATACAAGCTAACTGATGAACACACGATATTTGACTAATATAATGAGTTGTGTTACCTATGATAAGATTTTCTTTTCCCGAAAAGTAGAAAGAACGTGAAGGGAAAATGAATTTTAAGGGGTAAAAATAAATTTTAACTAAACTGAAGACGGCTGTTCCCGTTATAAAACAACCTCCCTATACACATCCACTCGCGGCGTAGGCTCTGAATATTTCAGTGTTGAGTTCGTAAGGTCGGGATTGGCAAACACAACATGCTATGGGCAGATAACCACTATAATTGACGCTGTGAAAATAAACTTCGATTCGTATCATGAAATTTCCATAAGGGCTAGCATGGTTTTACAGACTGTATTTTAAATAATTGTACTACTACACGCTATAATTAAAAGAAAAATATTTTCAATGGAATTTCATTGTGCGTGCCTTCCTAAGAGAGATTTTTTAATGGTTTAACTTTTATACATGTACGTAGAAGAAATAAAATCATTTAATTATTTAAGCATATGCAATATTACCTGATTATTTTGTAGACATAAATTAAGTAGGGCATGATCACGTGCAAAGCTTGCAGAAAAAAGGAAAGACTCGCAATTCTTTATTGATAAAGAAAAAAAATCTAATAGATTGATTTAAAAAAAGGTCAGTTCTTAATTACATGTAGTTAGTTTATTGTGATAAATCAAATTAATTTAATTCGATTTACGAATCTATTTTCATGCAGAGACACATTATATATAAAGTTAAATTATACTAAGCTTTTCTGAAACCAATTATTTCTTTTCTTTCTAAAACAAAACGCTTCAGGTAAGTTTATTCCAATTAAATCAGTTGGGACCGAGAGGGCATAACAGCAAAGACGGTTTATGAAAGACATTAATTATAACCATAACAAATGTAGCATATATGGATGATTGTATACCAATATACAAATAGTAAATTAGCAGAATTTATGCAGGTTTAATTGTGACATGTTTATTTACTAGATATTCACTCAATTTGATAATTATTGGTTTGTCTTCATTGATCATCAACCATATATATTGTTAAGATAGACTGATAAAGTTCTTATTGAGCTTGAATATACATTACATATATGAACGTCATGCCATCTTAATTATACATGTTATATTACTACACGTAAAAGGAATATTCTTCATAGAGACTGAGACTATATTCTACTCTTGTTGAATCCCCCCCCCCCCCACTAATCAATCGTACGCACTGTCTTTTATTAATTTTCAATCTAAAGTCGAAAAAATGATTACATGACAAATTTGTCAGTAATCATTTTCAACTTAAGATTAAAAATTAATAAAAGACAGTACTGTACATTGTATGTGTTAACGTTTACCTCCCTTTGTTCATTTTGTACTGGTTCCTGGTTTTTATGACTTCACACATTGCATAGAAACCGGGGTCGTGCGCCGCCTAATTTTGATGATATACTATATACAACATAGCTACTTTATGCTTGTGCCCTCTCAAAAATAATGTCTGATGACAATTTTTTGTGCTTGTCAAGGAATTTTTGCTTGGTACTGCCTCCCCAAACTGAAAATGTTCTGTTTGCCCCCCCCCCCCCCAACTGAAACTGAAATTGCTTCCTACGGGCCTGTCACAAACCTATGATTTTTTTATCTTTGTATAATATACATAATATACAAGATCTTCTGATATTTTATTGACCAATCAAGGGCCCCGGAAGACACAAAATAAAACATTATCACAACAGAAAACAATAATAATGCTGATTTGTCTATAATTATACAATCAAGCTACATTGTGTCTAGTGTCCATGATCCTATGATAGTACATTGTATATACATGCAATGGTAAATATTAATACATGTATATATGTATTTACATATTTGAGTGTTCTTTTATATCTCAAAAATAAATTTCCATAACATGGTAATAAATGTATATACATGTACATGTATTTATACATTAGTTCTTTTACTGTTTTCAAAAATAAATTTTCCAAGCAAACGTTCATCTTCAAGCTCCTGCATACCATAATGAGAGCATACTCTAAAAGGGTGAATGCTTGTACATCTCTTCTTATTTATATTATCAATATTTAGCTGATGTATATAAATGTGGAGTTTAGTTGCAAGGGACATATTTCTTCAAAATTTGCGATTCTATATAATTTTAATCTCTCTCTCTCTCTCTCTCTCTCTCTCTCTCTCTCTCTCTCTCTCTCTTAAAAGGATTTTTTTGTTTTTGGCTTGGCAACACCTTTTCTTTTGTCACAATGTTTCGTAGTATCTTACTTGATTTCAACGTTCATTTTTTTTTTTACATGTATCCAAACTATTATGACGTCATAAAGAAGCTAATTAGATTTTTTTCCATGTACATGCGAACTATTATGACGTCATATTAAGAAGTTTATTATGACATCACAATAACGTCATATTTAAGCATTGAATTGTTATTTTTTGAAAGATGTAGTCTCATTACTCCATATGGTGTGTGCAAACAAATTGAGTAACGTGCATTAGCTTGAGTAAATAAAAATCCTTCTTCAATCTTTTGACCTCCCCATCCGTGTTATGGTGTTTTGAATGTCGTAGCTTTCCACACAAATATTTTGCCATGAGCTAGTTATAGTCTTATACGTTATCCTCTTTTCATGGCCGTAGGAACATGGGGGGAAGGGCACGGGGGGGGGCGTGCCCCCCCCCCCGCAATAATTTTGCCGATATATAGAACAGAACAGAACATTTATTTTCTAATTTAGAGCCCATAACAGACAAGTATGAAATTATTACAATAATAAAGAAAAGATATGCCAATGGATAGTATAACAATTTGTAAATGACATTGCTCATTTCAGCAATAATATTGTACTATTTCAGTTAAAGGGATATATAAAAGTGTATGGCTACTACAAAATGTTATCATTTATGAATTTGCCCACAGAATTAAGAGTTTCTTTGTTTTCAGTATTGAGTAACCAAAAAAGTTTTTGTTCATCATCTAATGCCGAAAAATTTGGAAATTTACTTTTAATTGACTGAAAAATTTCTTTTCTTTGATGATCATATTTTTTACATGTTATCAAAAAATGAGTTTCATCATCTACACTGTTAGAATTACATCTATTGCATAATCGATCTTCTCGAGGGATGTTGGTAAATCATCCCACTTCAATTTGCAATCTGTGACAAGAAATTCTTAATTTACATAGAGATTTTCTGTGATGAAATTTTTTAACTACTGATAAATAATTTTCATAACCCCAATTTTGTTTGAGTTTTACATATGTGCTTAATTTACCATCGGTATAACTTTGTTGACTTGTATACCAATTTTTTACATAATAATCTAATTCTAAATTCTAAAGGAAATTCTGTGGACAAATTTTGAAATCTATACCAACTTTTGATTAACAGTTTGACAATATCATAATGCAGATGGAACCTACCCAATCCAAACAATACTGCAAAATTTGTACTTTTCTTATGAACACCAAGAATATATTTACAGAATTTAAGGTGTATAGATTACTATAGTAAACATAGATATCATATGCCCCTCCCCCTTTTTTGGCTTGTCAGGAAATTTTTGGTAGTGCCCCCTCAACTGTTAACTGAAAAATGGCTGCCCCCCCCCCCCCCAAACTGAAATTGCTTCCTACGGGCCTGCTTTTATTAATTAAATGTAAACAAAGTAAGATTTGGAAATGGTCTTATAATATAACGATACATATTTAGCTTCTTCAAGTACATTTAGTGTAACAGACTTTGGTCCTTGTTTTGATCTTCGGGGCTAAGTGGGAAACATTAAAAGAAGAGGAGTTCATTTCTCCTCGCATGGATTTTTGAAGTAATTTTCCCAGTCCAGAAAATTACAAACGTTTAAATCATTTTTGTCCGAGTCATGAGCTCTGTGACCACAGTTTGATAATAATACGAGGATAACACATAATGAGAATGTTTTTTTTCCCCTAAAGGTTTGTAGTTAGCAAATCATTATGGAATATCCCCACGTAGGGGATATGATCCCTTTATCAAATTTGTGAAATTTATTGTTCAGGCCCGAGGAAGGATCTAAGTTGGCGATGCATTTCTATTGAAAACACATCATATCTATGAAACAGGCTGAACGAAGGAACCATGGAGGGGGGGGGGATTTTGTCAGTACGTATTTTACAATAGAAAACGAAGCTAATTTACAGTTGTACAACCTCAATAATTTTGGTAGTACATAATAAAGCTAATTTCCTAATTTACGATTATGCCCGCACCCCACCCCACCCCAACTAATTTCTTTTTACGGATCTGTGAAAATCTTTACTTTGTCATATACATGTATTGAAAATGTGTTGTATCTCTGAATAATTTCTTTCTCGTAGTCATCTATAGCAGGAAAACTGTTTGCACGAATACAATGAGCACCCTACCCTTAATTATAATGGTAAAATTCATGACCTCTGGGTCTATGGATCAAGTCTCAGGGTGGGGCTTACTTAGTCATAATATTGAAAATGCATTGAATATTTGAAAATTTAATTCTTCAATGCGCATGGACATTTAGCAGGCAAACTGCTTGCAAGATGAAAATGTTTGCAGCGGGATTAAATTTAACACTAATCACGGTCGTAGGAACGGGGGGGGGGGGGTAGATGATTTTGAGATAGTGCTCTCTTCCAAAATTTTCTTTGAATATAACATAAATAAGTTCTTAGTTTGCCATTATTTTGCTGTTCATTTTAATGCCAAAGGTATATTTTACAATAATTGCTGTTCTAGGCGTTTATAGCATGCAAAACGCGAAACTTACGCGCTACTCTATCTAACACAAAAGTTTAAAAAAAAAAAAAAAAAAGCTTAGTTGGGAATGACTTTCTTATTAAGGAGGCTGGGGGGTCACCAAATTAACCATCAGATATAACTTAATTTTTTAGATATGACATCTTAAGCTGTCAACTATCATTTGGCAAACAAAAATTTCATACATTTTAGTTTTAAAATTTGATCATTTTTGTATCATTTTTGTATATCTTTATAGGAGCTCTTCTTTTAAGGTATGTCACTCGTGAAATTTGTTATATCAAGGATTTTTTGAGAAGTATATTTTGGATAAGTACTCATATAGTATGACTCAAAATCGCAGAGAAAATGGGGGGTCAGTGTGCATCTAACTGAGGTACGGTACAATTAAGTTGACCTTTTTGCACTTAAATTGTAACTCTTTGATTAATCACTTTAACCGTTATAATATTTTATAAGATGTAACCATGGCAATAAACATAATCTTATTTTACGTAAAATAGTAGGAATAATATTTATCATTGAACAAATCATGCAAATTAATGCGCGTAAATTATTGTGTGACCTTTTTTGCACTAAAAAAGTCTCATATTTCGGGTATTAAAAATCTAAATAGGCAACAGAATATTTTCTTGTGTCAAACTTTTTACGACTTAAGTGCTGATCGGTCAAAAGTATCGTGTATTTTAAAATAATGAAAGAAAAAGTTGGGGTCAGTGATGTAAATTTTGAAATATTGGTCAAAATATGCGATTTTCAGGCAAAAAACTGTGTAAATTTTATCTCGACTTCCTTAATATATCTTCATTTCTTTGCAATGTTTGTTGAGCGAAGGTGTAAATTTTGTTATAAAAATATAAATTGAGACCTATATTTAATATTCCAGGCATATCATAACGGAAAATATTCTCTGAGTAAAAGTATGTGAGGCTAAAGTTCCAAGATATTAAATTTAATAAATGTGTAGATTTGCAGAATTTTCTGCTAAATATCCTTCCGCCACAAGAAATAGTCCCTTATAAACCTTGCTTCTTTGTGAATTTTTGAGCAGTTTTTTTATTTGAATGTTGAACATTTTACATTGTTTAATTTAAATATGTTATAAAGATTGAATTGTAATAAATAGCTTTTAAGTAAGAGGTTCTGACTGAAATTTTCTAAAAGGCTGACGAGTGACATACCTTAAGGTCAAGATCTAGTAAATGACTTTAGACTAACTTTTTGGTGCTAGATCCATTATGACGTCATAATCAATTTCAACTTTCTTTTTCCCGTACTCTACGGCTCTAATAGAATTATGTAGAAAATAAAGTATTTTCATGGAATTCAATTTGAAATCATATGAAAAGTAATCCCGATACCTATATTCAATTTAATTTTATTTTAAAGAAGAAACCAAGAACGTTCAAATTGCCGTTTTCTGAGAGACTGTAGGCAATCTGGATACATTTCCTTTGTCTGATATGGAAAAAACTCCCGCATTCATGACTATTTTCTTAATTTTTCATTTAAAATGACAGTGTAAAATATGATTTTTCGTCTTGTCTATCTACAAAGTATGCCCCGAAACACCTTATTTGACCAAGCTAAAGTTACAAAGCATCATTAAAGGAATTGATTTCTCAAATTTGAGAAATCTGTAGGCACCTTTCATTTACTAGATCTTGACCTTAAAGGAGATCAATATAGACTGAAAATGGCCACAACCACCCAGTTAAGTATACCATATTCAATATCTCTATTTGTAGGATGAATCTTGACATCTAATTCTGGCGTTTTATCAACGAATATGAATTTTTAAAAAAAATTACAATTTTTTTTTTACCCCAATCAGTCAATGTATAACATAATGTTTATCATATGATCTCTTGGGGTGTTCTTTGGACGACCGTTTGGGGGTTCTTTTCTGTCCTTTTGGGTAAATCGGCGCACCCGAAATAAAGCGTACACGCTACTCTGATTGCTCTGTCCTTTACACGCTTGCAAAAATGGCAACTGGTGGTGCAAGCAATCCGAAAACACTTTTCCCCTTGGTTTATGACTTTCTGAAAGAATATTGCCAAGATGTCGCCGAGACATTTAAGCGGAAATTAAAAACAGTATGTTTTAATTTATGATTTTATGCAGTGACAATGATTACACGCACACAAGAGTTGTTTTTATGCTAACCAAAACAAAAGCACGTGTTTGGTGGCTGTCCACGTGTATTGTGTAAAATGATTAGTGTATTTTTGGGTCTTTGGTGATAAGATTGTCACTTTCTTTACAGAAACCTCCGCCTGCAGGATCGCCAAAGCTTCAACAAATATACGGACAGTGGTCAGCTGCGAAGTAAGTAGTGCAGACACACCCTCTTCTTGATTAGAGCCAAATTAAAAAAAATAAAAACAAACACACAAAAAAACATAAAACAACATTTACATGTGTACAAGTACATCTGACAATGATTTTTCATATGTTTCATGGTGCGACAGGCTTGGTAAGGCCAAATAAAAAAATATGTATGGTTACGGTTACCCAACCATCCCTATTTTAAACCCCCGACCCGAAACTTTTTTCGGCAATTTTCATATTATTTCCAGAATTTTTTTTGTGTTTTTATATTTTTGATTTAAAAAAATTGTTTGATATTCATAACTAGGTGCTCCCTACCAATGTTGACTAATATATTATCACACCACATCTAAATGCCATTTGCAAAGCAGTGATAGGTATTATTTAGAAAAATTTTGAAAATCATTTTGTAAAAAAAAAAAAAAAAAAAAAAAAAAAAAATCCGTACCTACCTACCCTAAATTTTTTGGAGGTGTAACCGGAACCACACATATTTTTTTGTTTGGCCTAAGCACAGTTGTGCATTCAGTGCCATTCACTACTATAGATACCATTAAAAACCTTTATATAGACTTTTCACTTAGATCCGCCTCTTCAAACCACATGAAACATTTGAAAGTAAACTGTGACATTACATAATTCTTATGTTAGTTGCTTTTCCTTAAAGGGTTTTTATCACGTATCTAAATTTCTTAAAAATGAAACACTATTATATTCTTGATACATATAATTATCGTTTAATTATGAAATAATGTTGAAAACGGCCGTAATTAGACGATAAAATGCCCATAAGATAGGGTCCTCGAAGTAAAAATCACCACTAATTAGATAGGGGTCACGTGGTACTGAAACGTCATAGGTGTCAATGGTCAATAGAACTCGTAAGGCTTATCGTAAGAAAAAATATATTGAATAGATTTCTACGCTAAATAAATAGAAAACACAATATGGCCGGTTGAAATTTTGACATCGACTTTATTCCTTTGGTTATGGACGGTCAATCTTTTATGTGTGAACGTCTAGCAGAGAGAAATAACCAGAAAATACGCCGACAATAGGAGAGGACACCAAAGACGAAGCCGTTGACAACTCGGGACTTCGACTAAATAGAACGAATTAATAAGTTTAACTTCGTAAACATTTATAAATATGGGATTTTTAAATTCTCCTTCATTATTATTTTAATTAATTATATATAAATAAATCCTGTTTATCTTCTATCTGTTCCAGTAGTGAATATCATGTAATAGAAATGATACTTCTTCAATGGAGCTGTACGCCATTACGAAGTTCACAACATTCCTACTAGATTCTGTGCGACTTTTAAAAAATGCGTGCTTGTCATTTATTTTTTTTTTTTAAAGGTATCTTTCCTTAAAATATTTTATAGGACAGAAAAAAATTGTGATCGATCGGGCATAAACGATTGTTGAAATGTTCTGAATGGAGATAAACGCCATCGCATTTGCAGAAAAAGGCCCCTCTTTCATCTCTCAACCAAGTCCAGGAAATATGGAAAAAATATCTTCCTAAAACCTTTCTTGTGCACATTTGTGCATCCTAAAGCCATAAATTATACCTTACTAGCTGTCAATTATCCAATTATCTCTTAATTATTTTCTTACAGGTTTAATAGACGCAAACAAATGAGCCCTTTTGTATACACAATAAGTACTTCGCTTGACCAGGATTGACACCTATGACGTCAGAGCAATGGCGCGTAACATCGGCGATCAAAATATGCATATTGAGAAATTCAAACTTTGAATAGCTGAAACATCAAAAATATTAATTTTTTAGCAAAATTTTTTAAATATATGATTTTAATAGCATGTAAATTTTGAGACGTGATAAAAACCCTTTAACAGAGTGTCAGAAGTGAAAATGTCAACAGAGAGCATTAAATCTATCGATTTATCAGCAATTTAAAGTGAAGCAAGATTAGTTTGGGTTATAGTTGTGAACTTTTCCATGGTTATCACACGAACGTAGTTTGGGCAAACACATGCAATTTATGGAGGATTGTGGGTACTGAGTTTACTGCAGAAAAATATTCTATTGGATCATTGTACAGTAGTCTGAATTTTCTGCTCACCCAGGTGTTGTTGCATTGCTTGTAGAAGTGTAAAGATACATCAATACAACGATTGTATTGATCACAAGGGCTCATGATTTGGGTATATATCGTGATACAGTACAAGATAACTTTTATTGTTTTGTTTGACTTCTACATACAACCTAACAAATTTTTTATGTTTTAAAATGGCTGAAAAAAAGGTAGCAAAGAAAAAATACAATGTCAAGACTATAAATCCACCTTTTATTAACTTTCATCAGGGATATCAAGTTTTTTTTTTCATATTTTCTATAACTGTGGAGGTTAGCAAAGAATAATATGTTAAGATAACGGTGTATTCAATTGTTGACAGCTGTATCTTGATATGTGTTGTATCGCACGAACGTATTGTGATATGTATCATATCGTTAGGTAGCTTGCGATACTCATACCTAATTGCTTGCTATAAATCCTCTTAGTACACAGGATTATTTGAGGTTGGTCAAAAGAATGAGAACCTTTTTTTGGTCATTCTGGAGAAATAACTCTCGGACTTTAGATATTATTAGTTACACAATTAGTTTATGATCTAATAGAGTCATCCAGGGTGTGAAATGGAAATTTGTATTGGGTGAAGTGATTTGTTTTTGTCAGATTGTTATTTTATCAATTTGTTATTGTCATTGGAGTGACTAGTTTAAACTGAAAATACCTCAGGTCTGTTTTTGCTTTCTTCATGTAGATTGGGTGACAAACGAAAACTAAATACGTCTGATGGTTCTCCAGCCTCAAAGAAGTCTAAACAAAACTCGTCTTCGAGTGACTCCTCAAGGTAAGTTATACATACAGGGTTCAGAAAACTAATGTTACAGAGTGATATCATTATGATGTGTGATTCAGTTTCACTTTTCATACCACTTAACAGTTATTAGGTTGTTTTATTTTCCCAGACAATATTGTAAAACTAGTACTGTGAAATTAGAAATTTTAGGGGGGGGGGGTGGTTAATTTTTGCTTTTTTAGGTCACCTGAGTAAACTCAGGTGACCTATTGCTATCCGTTTTTGTCTGTCGTCGTACGTCAGTCGTAAACTTTTGAACATTTTTAGCTTCTTCTCTGGAACCGCTCAACCAATTTCAACCAAATTTGGTATATAGCATCTATGGGTGAAGGGAAACAAAAATTGTGAATTTCATGGTCCCTGCCCCCCTGGGGCCTGAAGGGTGGGGCTAAAACCACCAAAAATAATGCAATCTTTAAAAATCTTCTTCTTTACTCCTGGACATCAAGCAGTCAAACTGTTGGCATCATTGTTATAAGCATGGAGCCCTCTACCAAAATTGTGAAATTCATGACCCCAGGGTCAGGGGTTCTGGCCCCAGGGTGGGGCTATATAGATCATATAGTGAAAGTGCATTATTTCTTTGAAAATCTTCTTCTCTGCTCCTGGGTATTAAATAAAGGAACTAAGTACATAGTTATGATAACCAAGAGTGCCTCTTCCAAAATTGTGAAATTCATGGCCCCAGGGTCAGGGGTTCTGGTGTTAGGGTGGGTCTCTATTGATTATATAGTGAAAAAGCATTAATTCTTTGAAAATCTTCTTCTTTGCTCCTGGGTATTAAATAAAGTAACTAAGTACATAGTTATGATGAGCAAAAGTGCCTTTTCAAAAATTGTGAATTTCATGGCCCCAGGGTCAGGGGTTCTGGTGTTAGGGCGGGGCTCTATAGATTATATAGTGAAAATGCATTGATTCTATTAATCATTAATTAATCCTGTCTGCTCCTTAGTGTTGAGCTGATAAATAAATTGCTTAGCTATGATGAAAATGGGAGCTTTGAACAGAATTTTTAAATCTTGTGGTCCTAGGGTCAGGGGTTCTGGCATAACGGGGGGGGGGGGGGGGGGGGGGGGGGGCTTTTGATAATATAGTGGAAAAGTGTTAATTCTTTGAAGTTCATAGTTATGATGATGAGGGTAACTCTTCCAAATTTGTAAATTTCTTGACCCTTGGTCTTGGGTTCTGGTGATAGGGTAAGGCTTTGTTGAATCTGTAGTGAAAATGCATTGTACCTGTGAAATTCTTCTCTGCTTCTGGGCATATTTGAAGCAAACTGAGTAAAAGTTTAAATGATATGAGTAAACGTATTTCTACCAGATTTTTAAACATCTGGACCATTGGTCTAAGCATTCTGGTCCTGGACAGGGCTCTATTAATTTGTATTCTACTGAGAGAAGTTATTCCCCTTTTCCATTCACCTTTGATAATTAATCACTCTAAATAATGTATTTGAAAGGTTAATAGAATAAGATAATTATGCAAGAATGTTTATCGTATAATTAAAAAAGTACTTTCTTAGTTTTAATAAACAGGTAGACCTGTAAGTAATAGATAAATAAAAAAGAGACAAAAATAACTTATCCTATTAAATGTTCTTCAAGGACCATAAGAGAGGTCAATGCTAGAGGTCTTAATATGGGTTTATAAATAGTACAGAAGCACTAATAGTTTGTTAATAGTCTGCATAGTGTGAAGTGGGGACAGATTAGAACTTAATTTATGAGTTGATACTGAATACTAGACTAATTATTTTGTTGATCCTGATCTTCCTACTTCTCTTGCTTTACGGCAACAAAGCTTCAACTATCAGTGTATTTAACTTCTAAATTGTTGTATTATACTCAGGTGACCGTTAAGGCCCTTGGGCCTCTTGTTTTTAATGGAATGAAGTGACCCACAAATTCATATCCCCTATGGGGTATTAAAATTTAATAAGTACTGCAGGATGAAATAACCCCTTTAACCATGAAATCTAAGCTTGTAATTTAAATAAAGGAAAATCTGGGACAAGAAACATTGAAAAGACTGTCTTTGATGAGAATTCATGTACAAACATAAAAATCTGATCAATGTATCAAAATATTTAGACCACCAGCACTGAAACATTTCTCAATTCAAACAATGAGCAATCAGATAGATTTTATGATAAAATATGGTATTTTATGCAAAATACATGCAGCAGGAAAATTTGAATTATCCTTGAGGAATTCTATGTAACTGTGATAACCATGATAAACATTCATTCATATAGTCCTATTATCTCTAGGGTAGTTTGTGTAGCTGTATGGTAGTTAGCTGTAGAATATAAAATATCTGTAATGTATCAATTCTCCATAAAAAGTATCAATATTTTATCAAAATAATTTAAGTTGATGAAATATTGATGTGGGCTTCTTGAATGGCCACTTGCACATGTTTGGCTTAAGCCTGGGTCAAGGTAATCTAGGCTTAAGTCAGGTTCAAAATTATCCAGTCACTTGCAGACCTCTCTGATTTATCTGAGTAGAGCTCAGAATTGTGGTTTACTGTAAACCAGGTAATGGGCAGGTTTAAAGGAAGGTTTATATAAGTGATGGAGTATTATTTTGATGAGATAGACCAAATTGGTTGTGGCGGTTTAGCAGATTCTTCCGACATTATTGGTGCATCCTCCTGAATTATGTTGGTTGTCAATATCTGTGAACGGTGAATAATTCATTGTAATTATTATGAGTAAATAAAATATATTATTGATGTAATGGTTTTTGTCAAAAAAAATACAATAAAGCATGCAGACAGTAGATTCCTCATGAAATGTGAGGAATTAATAACACTGTAAGATCGTGAGATTTTGTTTTCACGTATTTTAAAATCACAATTTTATTTTTAATGGCTGATTATTTATATAGAATTATTATAAATGTTGGGTGCGCCCAATTTTTTCATGTTCTCGTAATTTGACAAAAATGGCACCCATTTCTCACAAAAAAACATTTTCTGGGAAAAAAGTGTGTATTATATTCAGCCAAATACAGTACTCACCTGAGTACAGCTTAAGCCAGGTTTAAGACAGGGTTATCTGATCCCCAGGTCACCTATTAAATCAGGGTTACCTGAGCTACAGGTATGCAAGTGGCCATTAGATTTGAAAGGTACACTTTACTTGATACATTATACATTTATATACAGTGAAACTTGTCTAAACCTGATGTTTGTATTCCGAAATCTTACCTAATACGATGTAAACTTTAAATCCTGTTCGGTAAATTCTATTGTTTAAAATGTTGTATAATCAGGAATGTTGTCTAATTTGACCAATTTCTATGGAACCAATGGTCTCTGGATTAGGCATGTTTTACTGTAGTAATATTCTCTTTAATCTATAATTAACTGATTATCTGTATGAATTTACAGTGACTCTGAAAATGAAACTCCAAAACAAACTCAGAAGAGGGACCGGGAGAGTGACTCGTCAGATTCAGATGCCAAGCCAGGGAAAAAGAAAAAGACGACTCCTAAAGCTAAGAAACCAGGCACTCAACATGCAAATAAAGGCACTCCATCTAAAGCACAGAGTGGAACTTCAGATTCTGATTCAGACTCGGAAAGTTCAGATACAGAAAACCAGAAACCAAAGGCTAAAAAACCCCTTGTAAACAAAACTAAAAAAATAATTAAAAAGTCAAATGATAGTTCTTCTGATTCAGAGTCGGAGGATGAAAAGAAAGTATCAAATGCTAAAAATACATCTTACAATGCAGTCCCCCCACCATCCTCTTTAAATAGAAGTAAAGGTGCTGTTACCCCGAAATCAAAGCCAGGAAAGAAAGAGAAAGCCCCAATTAGTAAAGCTGAGAGCACTTCAAACACGCAAGGCAAGAAAACTCCTGCAAAGAAAGAGGACAGTTCAAGTAGCGATTCTTCAGATTCCTCCGACGAAGAGCCAAACAAGAAAGTAGCCACTCCTAAAGCAAGCTCTAAACCTGCAACAGCTGCCAAGTCAACTCCTGCTAAAAAGAAGGACAGCTCAAGTAGCGATTCTTCAGATTCCTCCGATGAAGAGCCAGACAAGAAAGTAGCCACTCCTAAAGCAAGCTCTAAACCTGCTACACCTGCCAAGTCAACTCCTGCTAAAAAGAAGGACAGCTCAAGTAGCGATTCTTCAGATTCCTCCGATGAAGAGCCAGACAAGAAAGTAGCCACTCCTAAAGCAAGCTCTAAACCTGCAACAGCTGCCAAGTCAACTCCTGCTAAAAAGAAGGACAGCTCAAGTAGTGATTCTTCAGATTCATCTGATGAAGAACCAAAATCTAAAGCAGTAGTGCCTAAAACAGCTCCAAAAGGAAGTGGAAAGTCAACTCCTATACAGAAAAAGAAGGCAGACAGCTCAAGTAGTGACTCGTCAGATTCATCAGATGAAGAGCCAGTAAAGAAAGCTGCTACACCTAAAACACCTGCTAAAGGTACACCAGCCAAGAAAACTCCAGTTCAGAAAAAGAAGGAGGAAAGTTCTAGTAGTGATTCTTCAGATTCCTCTGAGGAGGAAACTGCAAAGAAAGCAACAGCTTCTAAAGCAGTTGGAAAAGTGACTCCAGCGAAAACAGCAACTAAAGGAACTGCGAAACCAGTGCCAGCAAAGAAGAAACAGGGCAGCTCTAGCAGTGACTCCTCTGATTCTTCTGATGAGGAACCAGCAAAAGCATCCATTACCAAGACAGGCAATAACTCAAACCTAAAGGCAGGCTTTACAAAGAAGAAAGCTGAAAGTTCCAGTAGTGATTCATCAGACTCATCAGATGATGAACCTTCAAAAAAGATAACACCAAAAGGTGGTGCTAAAGCTTCATCTGCCAAGTCAAATCCAACACAGGTTAAGAAAGGAGAGAGCTCAAGCAGTGATTCGTCTGATTCATCAGAAGAAGAGCCACCTAAAAAAGCAGCACCTTCAAAAACAGTTTCAAAGAAAAAGTCACTGAAGGCTACCCCTACACAGAAAAAGAAAGAGGCAGACTCAAGCAGTGATTCTTCCAGTTCTTCTGATGAAGAGGAGAAACAGAAAGATGTTACATCCAAAATAACTACGAAAGGGGCACCTGCCAAGTCAACCCCTGCAAAAAAGAAAAAGGACAGCTCAAGTAGTGATTCTTCAGATTCATCTGATGAAGAAACAAAAAAGAAAGCAGTCACTCCTAAAGTAAGCTCTAAGCCTGCTACACCTGCCAAGTCAACTCCTGCAAAAAAGAAACAGGACAGCTCAAGTAGCGATTCTTCAGATTCATCTGATGAAGAACCAAAATCTAAAGCAGTAGTGCCTAAAACAGCTCCAAAAGGAAGTGGAAAGTCAACTCCTATACAGAAAAAGAAGGCAGACAGCTCAAGTAGCGATTCTTCAGATTCATCAGATGAAGAGCCAGTAAAGAAAGCTGCTACACCTAAAACACCTGCTAAAGGTACACCAGCCAAGAAAACTCCAGTTCTAAAAAAGAAGGAGGAAAGTTCTAGCAGTGATTCTTCAGATTCCTCTGAGGAGGAAACGGCAAAGAAAGCAACAGCTTCTAAAGCAGGTGGGAAAGTGACTCCAGCGAAAGCAATTCCTGCAAAGAATGAAAGCTCTAGCAGTGACTCTTCAGCTTCATCAGACGATGAACCTGACAATAAATCAGCCACTACCAAAGTGGCAGCTAAACAAAGTCCGATAAAACCAACATCCAAAACACAAAAAGAGGAGAGTTCCAGTAGTGACTCCTCCGATTCTTCAGAGGAAGAAACTGTGAAGAAAGCCGCAACCCCGAAAACAGGCACTAATAAAAAAGAACCTGTGAAAAAATTAACAAAGGACACAAAGAGTAACAGCAATAAAAATAAAAAAGACAGTTCAAGCAGTGATTCTAGCTCCTCAGACTCCAGTGATGCAGAGGGGAAAACATCAGGAAATAAACAGAAAACCAAGGCTCCTACCCCCTCCACTCCTGTTCTGATGAATGGAGCTGTTAATGGATTGGGTTCAGATAATGATTCTGGTGTGTTCACTTCAAATAAGGTGAGTACATTGGTTCAGACAATGATTCTGGTGTGTTCACTTCAAATAAGGTGAGTACATTGGTTCAGACAATGATTCTGGTGTGTTCACTTCAAATAAGGTGAGTACATTGGTTCAGACAATGATTCTGGTGTGTTCACTTCAAATAAGGTGAGTACATTGGTTCAGACAATGATTCTGGAGTGTTCACTCAAGTAAGGTGAGTACATTGGTTCAGACAGTGATTCTGGTATGTTCAATTAAGGTGAGAACATTAGTCTGGAATAAAAAATCATTCTGGGGTGTTCACTTGAAATAAATTGAGTGCATTGGTCCAGGAAATGATTTTGGGGTGTTCAGTCAAGGTGAGAACATAAGATCAAACAAGGAATCTGGCATGTTCACATCAAATAAATTGTGTACATTTGTTCAGACAATAATTCTGGCATGTTCACTTCAAATAAGGTGAGTGCAAATCCACAAGCTTTATATCACCTGTTTTGTCATGAATACTTATTAATTACAAAGTGCTGTAAATCACTTTTTATTCATGAGAACTTTATTTTTGCGTAAAAACGTCAGTCTGTTTGCTCGCAAAAATTTTATTCTCATGTATATTTGTATTGTTATTCTCATGTATATTTGTATTGTTAAGGATTATATACAAAAGAAACCACAGCTCACGAAAAAATTTGTCTCGCTTATAAATACCAAAAAGCTATTTTGCAATAATAAGGTGATAGCACAAGCTTTTTACACTATGTATTATATAACCATTATATAACCATTGATGTTAATTGACTAGAATACTGTGTACGTGTAAAAACATTCAGTTTTCTCCAAATGCCTGGATACCCAAGGTTTTTGTCCTAAAATATACCTTTTGATCAATTTTCAATTAGAAAATGCAAAGCTGGTGCTTTTATTTGTATTTCCTGAAAATAAATTTGATAATTTTCCTTGTATAGAATTACATGTATTAGCTATAAAAAAGAACTTTGAAGAAATACCATGGGTAAAAACATATTACTCCATGAATTCAGAGACATTTTTTTTTAGCTCACCTGAGCTGAAAGCTCAAGTGAGCTTTTCTGATCACCCGTTGTCCGTCCGTCTGTCCGTCCGTCTGTCTGTCCATCCGTCTGTAAACTTTTCACATTTTCAACTTCTTCTCAAGAACCACTGGGCCAATTTTAACCAAACTTGGTACAAAGCAACCTTGGGTGAAGGGGAGTTTAAATTGTTAAAAAGAAGGGCCAAGTCCCCTTGAAAGGGGAGATAATCAAGAAAATACAAAAATTGGGTGGGGTCATTAAAAAATTTTCTTCTCAAGAACCACTGGACCAGAAAAGCTGAAACTTATGTGGAAGCATCCTAAGGTAGTGTAGATTCTAAATTGTTCAAATCATGACCCCCGGGGGTAGGGCGGGGCCACAATAGGGAATCCAAGTTTTACATTGAAATATGTAGTAAAAATCTTTAAAAATCTTCTTCTCAAGAACCACTGGGCCAGATAAGCTGAAACTTATGTGGAAGCATGCTGGGGTAGTGTAGATTCTAAATTGTTCAAATTATGACCCCCGGGGGTAGGGCTGGGCCATAATAGGGAATCCAAGTTTTACATTGAAATATATAGGAAAAATCTTTAAAAATCTTCTTCTCAAGAACCACTGGGCCTGAAAAGCTGAAACTTATGTGGAAGCATGCTGGGGTAGTGTAGATTCTAAATTATTCAAATCATGACCCCAGGGGGTAGGGCGGGGCCATAATAGGGAATCCAAGTTTTACATTGAAATATATAGAAAAAATCTTTAAAAATCTTCTTCTCAAGAACCACTGGGCCTGAAAAGCTGAAACTTATGTGGAAGCATGCTGGGGTAGTGTAGATTCTAAATTGTTCAAATCATGACCCCCGGGGCTAGGGCGGGGCCACAATAGGGAATCCAAGTTTTACATTGAAATATATAGGAAAAATCTTTAAAAATCTTCTTCTCAAGAACCACTGGGCCAGAAAAGCTGAAACTTATGTGGAAGCATGCTAGGGTAGTGTAGATTCTAAATTGTTCAAATCATGACCCCCGGGGGTAGGGCAAGGCCACAATAGGGAATCCAAGTTTTACATTGAAATATATAGGAAAAATCTTTAAAAATCTTCTTCTCAAGAACCACTGGGCCTGAAAAGCTGAAACTTACGTGGAAGCATGCTGGGGTATTGTAAATTCTAAATTGTTCAAATCATGACCCCCAGGGGTAGGGCGGGGCCACAATAGGGAATCCAAGTTTAACATTGAAATATATAGGAACAATCTTTAAAAATCTTCTTCTCAAGAACCACTGGGCCAGATAAGCTGAAACTTACTTGGAAGCATCCAGGATAGTGTAGATTCCAATTGTTCAAATCATGACCCCTGGGGATAGGGCGGGGCCACAATAAGTACTACGGGGGGGGGGGGGGGGAGAAATCAGGTGAAAAACAGCAAGGCCAAAGTTACTCAGGTGAGCGCTGTGGCCCATGGGCTCTTGTTTTGTATTTAATTGCTGATTTTCAGAACCTAAGGATTGGCCTACCTTTAATACATATATATTATATTGCTCTTTGAGTGTGTTATTACGTAAAAATTGACATTCAGCACAGATTAAGTGCAAAGGAAGTAAATGTTAGTTATATAATGGATTTTAAACTGAGTAATATATATGTCAAATTGAACAGAGTAGGAGTTGATTTCCTAAGTCTGAGAATCTATGACAAACACTGACAATGAATATTCCTTATAGATATTTTTTCTTCCTTTTGTTTTTTCAGGATGAAAATTCTGATAATTCCTTCAATCAGAAAGCCAATAAAGGCTCTGCTAAGTCTAAGGTATACACATTGTTATTTTATATGTTTAAGTATATTTTGTAATGTTATCCATATGATAAAGAGAATAGTTACTCCTATTCCATCTTTGTGAAGGAAAAAAAACACACAAACCTCATCAGAAATGTAACACTAAATAATATCTGTAACATTGAAGGTCTTTGTTTATACATACATGTATTTCTAGTCTAGAAATTACATACATAACTAAGTGTAAGAAATATATCAATGACACTTATACATGCTTATTTTAAAATCACAGAAAACACCTAACACACCGTTCAGGAGAGTACAAGCTGAGAAGATAACTGTGGATTCAAGGCTGGCAGACAATTCATTTGAAGCTAAGGTATAGTACCTATAAGTCTATATGTCAGAAAAGGTGAATATTCTGTAGTAGCAAACTAAAATTCTGTAATTTTTGTAACTTAGACATTATGCAACCCATTTGTTGTTCAGTCATAATTATTAAGGGAAGTTGGGTATACATGTATATATATTAGCTCTTTGGTATCAGTCACATTTTTTCATTTTTTTCTTCTTCTAGCGGGAGACAGAATATTTCTTTTGCTATGTTTGGCCTGTTTGTGAAGATGTAAAAAAAGTGTTAAAATTTCAAATTTAAACTAGAGGGCTCCTTTTCATCAGGGACCTATAATGGTTTCCAAAATATTACACTGCACCTTGAACTCCTACACATCAAAATTGGTAATATTAGAAAGGTTTTGAAATTTTGATTTCTTCCAGGGAGGGGGTCCATGCTGGGAGTTCAAAATGAGACAGTTCCATATGAAATAGTTTGTCTAAAAACTGTTCATTTGGGTTGTAAGAATTTATCAAGGTCATGGCCAAAGGATGGTGGTGGTAGTGGGATTTGGGGGTTAGGGTTGGATGGGAGACTTATCAATTTCATTCAAAGGAATCTTATAAAGAACTCTCATCTTAAATTTGTAAATATTTGCTACCCCTGCCAATGAAGTCTAGGGGATATATAGGAATCACCTTGTCTGTCTCTCTATGTAATCATTTCTGGGCAATATCTTTGTAATGAAGAAACATTGGAAGCTCATACTTGACACAAAGATTGCTGAAGATTGTCATGACCTTGACTTAAGGTTATTCCTGCAAGTTTAAAGTGTAATATTCATGTCTGATTCACTTTCTAATGGAGTTCATACCTCATACAAAGAATGCTTTTGACCTAAAGGTATCTCATGTTCTTGGCCTAGGTCATTTGATCAAGTTCATGGTCAATTTTAGAAATGTGTGCCACATGACCTTGACCAAAGAAAAGGTGCATAATCCATGTATGGTTCGTAAGTCTCTAATGGAGAAAAATTGGAAGTTGATTGACAAAAAAGGTTGTTTATGACCCAAGGATGTGTCATGATGTTGACCCAAAATTATTTTAGAAAGTTTTAGATCAATAGTTGAAAAAGTGTAAAATTTACATCTGGTCCACCTTTTCGAAAGAAACATTGGAAGTGCATGCTATTTATGTCCTAAAGGTGGGTCATGGACTTGACTCAAGGTTGCTCTAGTAAGATCACCGGCAGAAAAAGTATAAAATTTCATTAACTCTCTAAGGGATAAACATTGGAAGTTCTTTCAGACAAAGATTACTTGTGAGGTAAGGATATGTCATTTACCCAAGGTCATTTTTGCAAGTTTAAGGTCACTGGTAGAATAAGCATCAAATTCATGTCTAGTCAATCTCTTTTGAATGGAGAAACGCTGGAAGTTCATGCTTCACAAAAAGGTTCTTTATTACCAGAGGGTGTGTCACATTTTTGTACAAAGCTCAATTTGACAAGGTCAAGGTCACTTTTGCAAAAAATATATGTAGGTACCTTTAAAAAAAGTCAGGTATAAAATTTTGTGACCTTGTTCAAGGTACTTTTAGTTTGTATTTAGGTGTGTCACCATATGTGTGAATTTAGATATTATGCATTATACTCAGTAGTTATCAAGGCTAAGGGGCCTCTTGTTGAATCCATATTTAATTAAATTTGTTCGAATTTTGTGGAAAACATATTAATGATTATAATGAATCTGCTTATTTGTAGAAAGGATCTGCTGGGTCTTGGGGAGAAAAGGCCAACCGTGACCTCAAGTTCACACAGGGCAAATCATTCAGGCACGAAAAGACCAAGAAAAAGAGGGGAAGTTACGCAGGAGGTGCTATAGACACAAATGTCTACTCTGTTAAATTTGACAGTGAATAGAGAAAGATGTGTCATTGATAGACCTAACAGTAATGTTAATTCTTTGATGTACAAAATCTGAGCTAAACACAACTAATTCCTATTAGAGCCACTCAACAAAATGTCTCAGATATACCAAATGTTAAAGCTGTCCATATTTGCCATAGTGAAATAAAAACACTACTTTTAACAGGTTATCAAATTCCTTTGTGAAAAGAGGAGTTAGCAAATTCATTAAAATATATTTTGTCAGAGAATCAGATGCCTAATGATTTCTTGTTATATTGTTTATTGTAATAAATAGAACTTGGGGAAAAAATTTTTTTCATTAAAGAACATTTTTTATGGATTTGTTACATATTTAATCATGAAATATTCTAGCTTATATCACCTCTGCTTTGTTTGATATGCTTTGATACACTTGTGAGATGATGAAAGTCTAAAGTTTCTTCCTTGATGTGCAGGGTCATAGTCATATAGAGAGGAAATATGCCTGAATTCCAACTGTTTACAAAATCATGCAAGTCACTTTACAATTCAAAGATTTCATTATAACAACAGTATTGGTACTGTAAATCTTTTTTTTTTTTTCATGAGAACTTTATTTTTGCGTAATTAAAATACCCAAGACGGTCTGCTCTCAAAAATTTCATTCTTGCATATATTTTTTTTTGGCTTAGCTTATATACAGCAATAACCAGCAGGTTGAAAATTTTGTCCGGCTTATAAGTACCAAATATTTATCTTGCAAAAATAAGTTCTCGCGAATGCTTGGTGATCTACAGTAGAAGTGAATAAGATTTCCATTACATCAGTGTTATATTCCAGGGTCAAGGTTGAAATTAAGAAAAATTAAATTTTATTTGTACAGATCTTGCTTTTTTGATGTTTCTCATGTTTACAGATGAGCTTTACATTCATAAACACGTTGATTTACAGATTAATTTGATGTCAGTAATGGAAGAAATAAATTTGCAGAGTTCAATTTGTCTCGTGTATTTGTCAATTTTTATGAGTGGTATGTAAATTTAAAGCTTTAGTCCAGTCTTTGTATCATTTAACATCAAACTAATGTAACAGAATTTCAACTCAAGAATGCTCAAAACAAGTCTTACAAAACCAGATGAGGGGAAAGCATTATTTTTGGTTAAATAGTTGCTATGGAGGGACATAACTCTTGTCATTACTGTCTTCCTTGGTAGACGGTATACAGAGTTGAAAAATTTTACAGTTTTTGGACTGCACTTCCTCTTTTCTGTGTGAACATTTGCTATCATTTCATTGGTTGAAATGCTGTTCTAGGCAAGGGAGATAATTTTCTGGTGATGTAATTTTTTCGTACAACTTAAAACAATTTTACAATACATGCAATCATTAAAAAATTTGACAAACAACAGAAAATTGCAGTAAATGAAACTAGAATTAATTTTTATTGCAAGTATTTTTAAGTTTTTCTATATTTTCATGATTAACAGAAAGTTTTTTTTTCTGCATGCAAACATAGAAATGTGTATTTATTCTTTTCACCTTCGTTTACATGGTAGGGCTAATGTCTGTAAAAAGCTGTTGAAGAAGTACAAAGCCAGGGACTAGAGTACTTAAAAATAACACGACTTGAAAGGTTATGTCAGATTACAGTTTAAGGTTGTTGCCAAAGATGGCAAAGGTCTTTGAAAAAGCTATACTTTTTATAGTAAATTTAAGTGCATTTTTTCTACCTTGAAGAAAAAGGAAATGTATTAAACTGTATATACATGTAATTATATTTATTAGTATTTATGATCTAAATACTAAATATGATTTTTTCAACAAAAAACAGGATGGTGAGATATGCCCCTTTCCTGTAACTCCACAGGTAATTAAATCATGCCAAAACTATGCTTTCTCAACATTAAATCTTCTTGGAATTTTATTATGGTACTTCGTATATTTTGTACATGTTAGACAAAAGGGTCTTTCATGACAAAGGGAATAAATTTTGCAAATGTGAAAATTTGTCTGTTCATTTGAGAAATACCAGTTCTGTTCACACAAAGAAAACTGGGTTTGCCATCACATTGACAGCTTTCCACTTGTTATACATAAAACTAAACTTAGTGTTTAATCTTGAGTTTCTTTATTGAAAGAGTTTTATAGACAATAAATATAAATACATGTATAATAAAATTATTGTCATCAATAAAAAGTGACATTTTTTTATCACAGTCATTTTCACAGCAATGCAGACAAGTAAATGTTTGGCAAACTCCTAAGTTTTGACAGCTGCAGCATTTACTTTGTTATATCACATGACAATAAGGTCATGTGCAATGGTTTTATTGAGAGTTTGGAGTTTTCTTCAGTAAAAACTGCATATGTGTACTATATCAATTTTTGCAGTGCTTATTGATTTTTTTTAGAACATTCACAAATCAGCCACAAACAAACATACATACATTTGTAGAAATCACAGAAAATGCATTTAGGTATAAACATAAAATATACGAAAATAAAATAATTTTTCTACAACTGGAAAAATACATACATGTAAAACCTTCAAACTTGACAATGTCATGCTTGTATCACATGCACTATGGACGGAAACCCTGTTTTTAATACAATAGTGCGCATTTGATATGTACATCAATTATGACTATATTCAAGGACATTCAGGTACAACTATAGTTCCAAAGGAACAAAAATAATAGATTCAGGTATTAAAAAAAAAGATAAAGATTTCTTAATCTGCCTTACTTCTTTTGTACAATATAAGATCAGATGAATATTCAAACATTTGGTTAACTTTTATAAATATTACGTCCTGTAAGATCCAAAGTCACAAAAACTCTTCACAGCTTGAGAGATCTGTGCAGTAGGGGGGCTCCCTTAATGGGTGAGGATACAGCTGTTGTAGTCAGCCGGAGATTTTCACGGATGTAGTTTGTTTTCTCACCCCTGACTCGTGTATCTGGGTGAGGTCCGGCTATGGGTTGAGCAGATTTACCCCGGGGAGGGTTATATTCTGGCAACACACCCTTCACATCATAGCTCCACTGCATATCTGGAGTCTAAAAGTAGAGTACATTTTTTTTATGTAACTGTGTGTACTGCATTGAGTAAGATTAAAGCTATATATGGCGTATCTGAGCTTGAAAAATAATAATACGAGATGGGAGTGTAAATATACATGATATATGTTATTTACGTTCAAATTAAAATGTTCACGGATTTTGAGCTTTAAAAAACTCACGTTTCTATAGTTACATTGACTTTAAATTTGTCTGTTGTTTAAATGTGGAGTCGGTAAATAAATCTGTTATTGTTTCAAATTTTTAATATCTTTGAAACATTGATTTAAATTGTGTAATTTACAGAAAAGTCCTATCTTTATATAAAGTAATAAAACAAATAGAAATATCCTTTTAATTTTGGTTACCTGAACTTACAAAAAAATACCCCATATATGACTTTAAATTTATTTAACACACATATGCCTTTTTGTCCATACAATTCTTGAAACTGTTACTTATAAGAAATGATAAAATATGCCAAAAATATAAAATCATAAAAATGATTTAGTTTTTACCTGAATAACGAGTTTGGCTTGATAGATCTTTCCATACAGAGCGGGTTTAAACTTAATGGCCAGTAGGGTTCCATTAGTGCCCTGAGGGAGGAGTTCTCCTGTTTGGGGGGTGACAGTGAACTCAGGATCACTGCCCGCTCCAAAGTAGGCATTGTACATTACAGGATGTCTAGAAGAGTATTAAAAAATAGATTCATGACCACTTCTATTTTTTAATTCTGTGTTATCCTTTCTTTCTCTTTTTTATTAGATTCAAAAAATAAAAGGTATTTCATGTGAGTAGTGAAATATGTTTTACACATATGAAGTATAGTCTCTGAACTCACTTGGACTGACTAGTAAGCCTGAAACCAACACTGGACTCTTTGTTAAGACCAGTGGCTTCTATAGTAATGGTGTCATCTACCGGTGGCTCAGCTGCCACAAACTTCACAGGGAATCTCCACAAACCACCGGTGGCTGCCCGCACCACCAGCTCCACGTTGTGACTGAAATTCAACATCAAATCTAATTCTGTGCTTTATAGAATTTTAATATTTATCACTTTGTTAGACACATTCATAGCATTTGTATTTTTAAAGCCACTCCCATGAACATACTACAGTATCATATATTACTGCAGTTTTGTGAAATTTTTTTTTTGATTTATTTCGATTCAGAAATTTTTTCAAGAAACTAGTGACTAAATGGAAATAGTTTACTTGCATGTTAATTACCATATATTGACAGAAAATAATGAAGAATGTTTTCTTACCTCATAGCCTTAAAAGGAGCAAAAACCAAGTTAAACACAAGCACGACCAGTCCTGAAGTGTCGTTTCTTTGGGCCCGAACAAGTGTCAGGGCTACTGAATTCTGTAGATTTTCTTGTGAGTCTCTATCTGGGAATTTCAGCTCGTACTCAAATTCATTAGCTGTAGCTAGTGCTGAAGACACAAATATTCATATCATGATATAAAGCATCAAATATCTTAATATATTACATTTCAAAAAAATATGAAAAAGAACCTGAAGTTTACATCATTCTGAGGACAAAATATTTTTATATCCCACTATACTGACTGCTCTTATTTTTGCAATTTTACAAAAAAGAATTACATTAGTTTGCTAACAAATTTCTTCAATCAATTAAACTTGAGAGTAAATATCCCTGACTTACTTTCTCCGACCACAATTCCATCAGAAATGTTTGTACTGCTTCCTTTAGGAGTGATAGATCTGGTCAACACAGATTTATGTGGCCCTGAGGCTGCCGGAGCCACCCCCGATAAGGTGACCTCTAGTCTCTCTTCCAGTCTGTCACGGGCCTTACACTCCACTATCGCCCCCTGGGAGTCCTTGATGGGCTTGGATTCCGGAATTCCCTGTATGGGATACAGCCATCTTATTTCCCTCAGACCTTCACTCCCTGTGACTGACAGCTGATACCTAAAAGTCAAATGTCAGTAAACATTAATGGAATGGAATGGTGTGAAAAAAACTTTAATTACATTTTCCAGATGTTTTCCTTGTATGAATTCCTGCAGTTCATGTATTTATGCAACATAAGTGTAATGTAACTATGACATGGTGTGATGTCACAATAATAATCTGGTTGAGAAGAACCTGCTTTTAAACCTACCCTTCACTGTCTTTGGGGGCATACTGCCATCGACTGCCGTCCTCTTTCCTGACAATGACGGAACACAGAGCCTCGTACTTTGTCATCTCTGTGGGAGCAAAGCAGACAGGGATATCCAGGGTGGACTTTGGCCCCACTCTGATGGTGGTATTCTGCTTTAGGAGGAGACAGAAGGCTGCATCAGGAGCTGGGGAACTATTTAGTAGCTGGTTCATTCCAATGCTGGTGTCTGTGTGAGTAAAAAAAAATGTTAACGAATCAAGGGCATAATTTTTGTTGGGAATCGTATTTTACCTACATTACCTCAATTAGTAAACATTTTCTTTTTTGTAGAATTTTCATATTAGTAACCAAATAAAACTTGAAGCCATTGAATTTTTTGCTTTGAAGATCAGAGTGCAGGAATCAACAGAAATCAATTGAGATTAACCTTTCAAGGAGACATCTACTAATACAGCATAATCCATGGGGTTCCTGAAGGGGATAATCATAGTTGTGTTAGAGCCAGCCTCTGTGTATACACTCACTGGATCCTGGGGTTGGGGTAGTAATCCTGTCCCTGAGGCCACAAACACCCACTCCCCTAGCTAGAATCAAGATACAAACATATATTGTCTGCAATGGTATATATTGTAGGCATGTTTACTGTAGTACATTTTTAAAATATGATTTTTTCCCCTTTGCCATTTTCTAGTTTCACTGTAAGAAAACTGATCATGACATTTAATGGAATAAATAAACATAAATTATCACAAAGATAGAACTTGAAATGAAGAAATATTGTATATGAAACAAGGTTGTCCAAGTTGCATAAAAGGGAACATTTAATCAGTTTAAACAAGAAACATGTAATTACCTGCTCACTGTGGAAGGTGATCTTGGCTAAATGATCACCTTGACCTAATGTAGATGGCATGAAGTGTATTGGAACCTCAATCTCAGAATGAGGCCGAAGTATGAGGGGACGTTCATTATCTCGCTCCAGGGAGAAATTATTGGAGTTGGAAATAGTGGGTGTCAATTCTAGCAATTCATCTGTAGGGTTGCTCAGTACAATTATCTGTTTTGTCCATCTGAATCAGAAAGGTCACATTTAAGAAATGTACAATCAATGGTCATACCGTAAAACAAATTCATGCATTGTCCCCAAGAAATATAAATTTCTCTTGGGAAAATACATTCTTCTTATGCAATAGTTATATAAATAAAGTTCTAAATTAGTTATTTTTAGCTTGATGTAACAAGTTATTGATGTAACTATTGATGCAACAAGTTATTGATCCCTGATCTTTCTTTAGACATTCACTGGTACATGTCCCATGTTTTACAATGCATAATATATATTTTCTTCATATTTAGTTTACAATTTTTAAAGATATAAAAGGTTTTCTATCCATTAAAGTAAATTTAACAACTATACAAATGTGTGACAATTTCTACCTTCCAAGATCACACTCCATATGAGGGAGGGTTGTGGGGGGTGGAGGGTCTGCCTTCAATCTGAGATCGTACCAAAATTCCCCAACACTCTTATGGTAAAATATCAAACTACAAAAAAATGTATTACAACAATTAGGTCCCATTTTTGCTTGAGTGTGTGGGCATATATTGATATTAACTGATGATAGTATTTTTTAAGATGAATACCTTCCCCTGTGTTTTCCTATCACAGCTGGGGAATATGTCAGTGTGTACACATCTTTCTCCCCTGCCTTCAGGGTTATCGAGTCCTTGCCATGAAGGTCACGACCTTCAATGGTGACCTCTAGTGTGATGTCTTCGGGGGTTGGGTTTCTTACAATGACTTCTAACACTGCTTTTTTCTACAATGATAAAATCATACTGATAAGACCAATCATACTTGTGTTTTCTCCCCCCTTGTGACTCTTATTTGTATGAAAAAAAAACCCAAACAAATAAACAAACAAACCTGGAAATGTAAAATAGATACATGATTTGTCAACAAAACTATGAAGTTTGATCACTGACAAATATTTCAGTAATGTTTGTACAAATTTCCTCTCAATTTTCAAAACAAACAGTAGCTGATTTTGTAAAGAGAAATAAACAGAGTAGTCGTGTACCTGACAACAACACTCGACAGCCATGATTCTCTCTGGTGGACTTGGTTTGACATGGATCTCTAATGAGTACCACACTCGGTAACCGTAGTACTTCCTGCTTTCCTCATCCTCATCATCAGGAATTTCATCACCATCACTGTCAATCTCACTAAAATCAGAAACATCCCAATTTGTTTTTGTGTAATACTACAGATATATTCTTTGTTTAAAGGTTCTACTATATTAATTGCATGTAGTTCTTAAACTGTGACATTAAAATATTCAGATTTAATCTTGTCTCCCTTTCTTATGATAATTTTAAAATACTCACACTACAGGGTTTTTGCTGGCGATGAAAGCGATGATTCCTTTGTAAACCCCTCGTCGACTCGGGGTAATATCCATGCCGTAAGTCCCTGTTTGTCCAGGTAGGACAGTCAGAGAGTTGTTACCACTCACAAAAGAGAAGTCTGATTCCACCTACAACATGACACAGATAGTTATAATGACAACATCACAACAACAGACTAGAAAGAAAGCAGGTTCTGGTAACGCACTCGTAAGGGAACAGGTGTTAGACTACCCGTACTTACCTTATAACATAGCTTCTTCTTTGTCACATTAGGGACTGATAAGATATGTTGGGTTCTGAAAGACATTAAAAAAAACATGAAAAGAAACTACACTGAAAGATCGGGTAAACAGAGTGAGAGAGAGATAGAGTGACTTACCCCTTTTTGGCCTCACATCTGATGACAACATGGTCCAGTGCCAATGGTTTTTGGGGCTTACCACACAAGTAGAATACATGGTCAGTTCCATCCTCTGTATTGGACAGAACTAATTTGCCCTACAGAAACAAAATTATGCAGTGATTTAAATGGAAAATTGAAAAAAAAATCTTGTGATGAATTCTGTTGCATTCTACTTATCATCAGTTCCAAGAGTTTTACAATCATTTACCTGAACAACAGTTTCATTCTGAGGTTTGAAGACCAATGGATACTTGGTATTATTGTATGCCTTGGCCAATACCATTGGCGGACCGAAAAACCCGGAGCCTTCAATGGCTGCCCTCAAGGGCCAGTCATGATTGGTCATATTTACCTGTAAAACGTCATTTATTTTTCAGAATTTTTTTATGCAAAGACTAAAATATATCTATCTGTGAAAAAAGAATTCCAGTGACAAAACGTCATTGTGAATTAGGGCAGAGATGTTATCCAAGTCTTACTATTGGTATTTCCTGTGTGACTGACTGATGGACAGGAGCCTTAAACTCAATCTCTGCAGTGCTGCCCTCTGGATTGACCGTACACTCCACCTTGTAGACACGGACATCATCAGGGGCACATAACTCTATCTGACATGGGTAGTGCCCAGGTTCCTTGGCTGTAAACTGTATAGGTAATTCCACACAGGAATCCTTACCTACAATCAAATGGATAGAAAGATAAAGGATAATCAATTTTTCATGTTGAAATTTTCTCTCTAATATCAAATGTAGCTAACTACTTTGAGGGAGTCTGACCCACCATTGCCGTTATAAGTTACAGGTGCACTGTTTGATCTCTGGCTGGGCATAGAAACTACAAGTTTTTCTGGCAGTTTAAAGAATTCTGAGTCCCATTTCACCTTGTAGGTAGTTCCTTGGGGTGCTTTGACCTGAAATATGAGAAGTAAGTTTTATGCAAAATTTTTTGCAAGATTTTCTGTAAATACATAGTTATAATTCTTCCAGTTTTCAATCTTGATAGGTGCTTGCAACTGAAGAGAATTTTACTCTGAATAGTGGAACTATTAAACATTTATTAAAATATTATCCCTGTTTAACTCCCCTGCCCCTTTAGTCACAAAATACAAAATTTCTCAACCCTACCTTGGCTTGATTTATGCTCTGTTTGGCATTTGTGGACAGCATTGTGACAGTCTTTGATGTAACACTACAAGTGTTAATAGTTCCCGTCACCAGGCGACGATGAAGTTCTTTATCTGACATCCGCTACAAAAAAATTCAATCAATGTATTTTGTACATGCAATTGGGCAGACAAAAACATTTTACAGTAAAACATGCTTATAATTAAACCACACTTACAGCGAAGTGATTTTCATCTTTAGGGTCTGTAAGTTATATTGTGAACTTAACGAGTATAACGAATTACGTTTATAACAAAGTAAAATCGTACATCCCTGGCCCTTTGTTATAAGCATGTTTTTGCTGTACTTCATTTTTCTATTAATCTCACAAAATAAATTGCTTAGTTTGTATAATAGCTGAGAATATTTCAGTAGCATGACAATGGTGTTCCTTATCAAAAGAACTGAGACAAAAAAATATCTCAATTACTGGGGGTATTATTATTTTTGTTACCTGTTGGGCAGCCATGAGCAGAGCTCGCTCTTTGACCTTGTTTGTGATTGGTACATGAATGCTTTCCTTCAGTGTTTGTCCTGCTTCAGTCTTCCAATATACAACCCTATCATCTCCTCCAAACAGGCCACGCCCAGTTCCTACAAAGACACAAAAATCCTAAACATTTGGAATACACGTTCAAGAAAAGTAAAAACTTGGGATGTCAACGAGTATTTAGATAAGATATGCGGTAAAAAAATTAATATTTAAAGTCAGATACAGGCAGTACAGGTATCTCTACTAAGAAAATACTTGTATTGAGAAATACAATGTTACAGTAGCATGATTTAAATCTTGAAAGTCACAGCACTCTGAAAAGGACATACGATTAAACTGACATTGGAAATTTTTCTTAGCAAGTACTCAACTATTGCTTGAATAAAGCCCTGATTGTTTGACTAGGCTACCAAATGGAATTGACATTCCTTTTAAAACCATGATTTTAAATTTCATTTTACATGCAAAATGTTTCAGTTTCATTATACCTGCAGCAGCAGCACTGGTGATGCGCACACTGTGTGGTGTCCGTACAAATGGCACCACTGATGGTAAGGGTAAGGTGGCGGTGGCCTCAATGGAGTACAAAAACTCTCCAATAGACTCATTCAGGAATATAATTGAGCACTGGCGCTCTCCAATGTTGAAGGGCAGAAAATGAATTTCTATGTTGGCTGTACCATGTGGCTCCAAGTAAAGACTTGCCACTGGGCTGTAAAAGGCACTCATCATGGGTGGTTCTGCAAAAAACATACAACCTGTTGATTTTTAGTTCATACTATAAAAATCTTTAAAAATAAAATCAAATTTATATATTTTCATTAGACATATTCTCACAGCATAATTTTATGCAATTTTGTGATCATAATTATATTTCAAGAAAACATATTATAGAAAGCAAGTCATACCATCTTTCTTGAAAAAGGAGTCCTCTTGTCTTGGGGGAGGGGGTGTGGGAGGGGTCTCAGGCCTCTTAAATCCATGATCCACACGGGCCCTGATCTTTCTGCGTTTCTTCTCCTTTGGCTTCATGAGATTGGCTGGTTTACTGGGGTCAAGAAGGTCAGCACTGGCCTCCACAAGGACCACACGGAATTCCCCACCCTCATCAAAGGGGTTTGTCACAGTCAGGGGAATCTTTTCCAGCTCATAACAGGGGGATTCTGTTTTTATTGTGTGCTGTAAAGGAAAGTAAAGATTTAAATCTCAACTTTGGGTCAGTTGAATTCTTATTGCCAAATTGATTCCTTTTTTTTCTTCTTAATGAATTATTTTTCACTATAGGTTGCAGTACCTCATACAGCTCAATGTTGTTGCTACTTTTACAAGATTATGTTACTCATAAGAAATTAAAATAAAATACACAAACTTGTCAGTACATGTATTATTAATTGAAACCACTTAAGCTACAATTAATGGATAAAAACTGGTATTGAAATGCAGCAAACTTGACATGCTGTTAATAATGAATAAACAGAAACTCAAAATTGTGAAGGTTTTATGGGTTTTTTTTCTTTTTTAGTTTTCATTTTTATCAGATGGAACTTGGTGCAGTTAATCATCAGATATTTAATCATCACATGAAATGTTGTCAAGTGATTTAGGAAACTTTATGTCTGACAGGAAGTCTATTAGCTTTAGTTCATTGCTTAAAGACAAACAATTAACACATAATGCACAATGTGTAGAAATACCTGAGATTTATGTAAATGCTGGAAACAAATAGGAGGATGAAGAATGAGACATGATAAAAAGCATGAAAAAGTTAGAGCTAAAAAGTCACCAAAACCTACATCCCAATTACTGATAAAATGTTAATTAAACTCAAGAGCACACAGCAACATATTCTACCAGATACCAGCTAATTATTATAAAAATAATCTTCCACCCTCTAATGAAAAATTGTCACTTCAAAAAGATTTTTAAAAATGTCATATTCTTTAATTTTCAATGAAACAAGACATGTTTGATTCCAAACATTCAGAAAATGCTGAAAACGCTTAGCTTCCCTGAAGAATCACACAAAACCCTACCTTTGGTGTGATGTTGTCAATCTGTGTTCTGAGATTGAAGGTCAAGGTGGAGCCTACAGCAGACCCATGTCTTCTACCCACAAGCACTAGAACTGCCTCTGCTGGTCTCAGGAAGCGGCTGGTAAACTCGACGTTCAGCTGGAGGGAGGATCTGGGAGGAATGGTCACCTGGTCCCCCTTAGGGACATTAAAATCCCGGGCGTCGTGACCAGCCACAAGGACCTGGTACTGTAAAGGTTTACTGCTAGGGTTACTTAACTTCACCTAAAATTAAAAAAAAAAATAGTCTAGGATTAAACAAGCTATCCTATAAAACAAGCCATATTCTGGTTTCTCATTTTCTTCTGGCTTGACATTCTCAGCAAGTATACACACTACCCCATATGCATAAACATTATCACAATACATTTTATAATTTTGCTAGAAGAGATAAAGAGACCATAAGATCGGAACTATCTGCCTACATGGCCAGGGAAATCTACAGTGGCTTTGGGGAGATACTGGTGAATCTGAAAGACATAATTTCTATACTTTACCTGTCTACAGACTGTGGTGTGGAGACGGCCAGAGAAGTCTACGGTGGCTTTGGGGAGATACTGGGGTATCTTTTGATATAGATGGACACACATCATCAGCAGGGCTATAGGATTGGGGTCTGTGATGTCTATCGCCTGTAACACAGAGGAAAACAGAATCATCAATAGCCTTCTTTAATAAAATCACTGTATTTAAATAAACTGTTATTTTCCTGTTAAATTAGTATGGTTTAAATGATATGAAGAAAACACTTTTTTTTTTTTTACACACAAGAGTTTTCCCCTTGTTCATTGTATGTAGGAAAAGGAGTGGTTTTACAAGATTATGGTGAGGAGCTTTATCTAATGGTTGTGGAGAAAGAAGTTAATATGTTTATAATGAAGACCTGTGTACCTGAATGTCATAGTCTACTCCTACATATCTCATGGCATTAACAATCTTCAGAGCATTGTGAAGACATTGCTCAGCTGTGGCAGGATGTGTGTACATGTCCTGAAGATGGGTCTTAATCTATGAAAAAAACAAAGGCAAAAAATTCTCTGTAAGGATTTCTTCATTTCAACATGAAAGTGAAGTTTAAAGAACATATTTCAACTTTAAAGGTATATTTGCTAAAAATCAGTTGATAACAGGATGATTCTATCGGTAGACAATAAATACTTTAATACAGAGTCTGATTCAAAAACCTATAGATTTTTGCTCTAGAAAAACATGTTTCTCTTCAAGCAAATGAATGTCATTTCTTCAGATGAAAGCTAGATTTTTTTTCTTGCTCACCAGGAATGGAAGATGGGCACCTAACACTGCTCCTATGACTAAACCATCCAGTAGATCAAAGTCATAGTTTACTATCCATCTCGAGGGAGGGACACCGCCTTTAATAGAAAGTAATCTCATAAAAATAGAATTGGTATAAGTATATTAATCATAAAAACTTTTGATTTGAACATGTTATACCACAATTAAAAATTTAACATCCTTTTCAAGTATAATAGCATCTCATTAAATGGCTCTTTTCAAAAAATTTAATATATATAGACAGAAAGTTCTGAAATTCTTCAATTTAGCAAATTGTATAAAGCCTCATATTTCTGGACAATTTTAATATGATTCAAAATTGCAACAATAACACATTGTCTTCATGAATACATTTTTCTTTTCAAAGTCTCATCATAAAAGATTAACTTTATCCTTCAATAAAATTCAGATTTTGATTGTTAACCTTTGGTACACCCTGTCCATATCCGTTCTCTGTAAGTCTCGTAGTGATGGTTCAGCCAGGTCAAGATTATCCTCTCCCCCACACTGTAGATGTTAGAGCTCAGGGGGTCCTGGTTAATGCTGGGTAGGTCTATGTTTTTATCTGGGGAGGGAGTATTCTTTAATGAACGTGGGGTCACTTTGGATAGAATAAGAGTCTGCAAAAGAAAAAAGGAATGTGATGCCTATCTAGCATGTAGCCTAAACAATTTTATTGTTTGAAAATATGAAGATAATTTTTTTCCATCTACAGCTGAACTTGGGTATCTTGAACACAGATATCTCGAATACCATGGGTATGTTGAAGTGACTTTGAAATCCCAAGCACTTATTTCTTAAGAATTTTACCCTGGATATCTCAAATCCTTGGATATCTCGAAGTATTTTCTTGGTCCCATGAAGTTCATAATGAGGTTTGACTGTACTTTCCCTCCTTCTATTCTAGTATAGTTTATGTGCACCCATTCCCCTTTCAGAACCATCCTGTGTATGGTAAATCTATTAATAGAAATAATCCGTTTATTACCTTGAGGAGCTGTAACAGGATGTCAGTCCAGGCCCGCTTAGAGACAGCCTCAAATACGTCCTCCTCGAGCTCCTCCTCCTCCTCCATATTGTTAGCCTGAGTAACCTCCCCTTGTTTGGTCAGCTCCAGTTTGAGTTGTTTCTGCATCTGCTTCCAGAGATGGTAGTCTCTGGGTTCTAGGAGGTACTCTGGCTTAATGGATGCTACACATGCTCCCTGACACCTTAATTAGAAAAAAATCAGAATTCAAAACATGTGCTTTTGCTCTGTTGCCAACTTTTCCATAAAAAAGTTCTTGCAAAAAAAAAAAGATTTAAATATATATACATGTACTGTGGAATCATCATATGTGTGGGGCTATAACGTTCGTGGATTTCCTGAGTCACCCATATGCACAAATTTACATCCCCACGACTATAACTTTGTCAATATTTTGGTTCATTGAATCTTCTGTATATACCAATTACCCATGAAATTACATCCCACGAACCAGTAAAATTTTGATTGCCTACAAATATTGACCTCCATGAATTAAAATGTTTCCACAGTATGTGAAAGTGAAACCTATACTCATGGAATAAAAACACAAATATTACAAAAAGAGCGGGAAAATGTAACATATCTATAAATTCTAAATTACCTGAGAAAGGTGAGAAGTGTGGCATGCTGCCAGTAAATCTGTTTTACCCTCTCTATGGGGTCTGAGGGGAGGGGGGAGTTGATGGGGATTCCTGGAACTGGTCGACCACTCAGGTTACTGATCATGTCATAGATAGTCTTGAATTCCTTCTTTAGATTGTTGGTGTCCCAGCTCCCAGCTTTGGCTGCTTTTGGTGAGTCATCTGTGATTGGCTTCCTACTTATTCCACTGAAACACACAGATTACATTGCTTTTCATTGCTTAATAATTTAATCCAGTAATGCAAAATGTTTTGGGTATGAGACAAATCTGAAATTGAATTTCAAATGAGATTGGACTTTTTTCTCTCTCAAGATATACAAGTGTTTGTTTGGAGATTGTTCAATATTACATGATGCTTAAAAAAAGTTATTGGTGAAAAATATCCATGTGAAGTTTACCAGCGGAGAGAATGTGGAATAATAATGGGGAATTGTCCCCCTGGCCACCCCTGGGAAGAGAACCACCGCTGGACTGCCAGTAGAACTTCCATGTGAAATATTCCCTCGTCTGTGTCCTCATCTGGGAACATCGCTGACCCTAATGACCTTGAGGCAAGGTCCATTTGACCTCGGCTGACATTTTGTTCTGATCCAGATGGAGGTTTGTTCATGGCTCCTTCACGATTCATTGGAGTGCTTTCATCTGATGAATCTAAGAGGTAATGAGTTTATTTGTTTCACAAGCTACATGTTTGATATTTAATAAAACAAATTAAGTGCAATACATGATCCTGCCATTCAGTAGTAGATACATGTATACAGTACTCATGTAACCAACTGGAAAATATGTAACTAATCAGAGTACAGTTTACAATAAATTAGAAAAACAATATAATGTAACCAATAAGAAAACAGTATACAGTAATTAGAAGATATATAAGATATATACCTGTAACACTGGCTGATGATTCATAACTAGATGTGGAGACCTGGAAGTTAGAACTTGTAGCACTTGTTGAGGGTCGGCTGTTGTGTTGGGGTGAAGCACAAGGAATAAAAACTGCTTCTCCTCCATTTTGATTGTCTTTTGAAACCAAGACTTTTCTTCCCTTTGGAGATGCTCCCTGGAATTTCAACATTGTTAACAAGTGTTAATAATAGACATAAGAACTAGAGAACACTAGAAAACTGGAAGTTATAAAGACATTTTGGTTGGTTGTATGTTGTTTTATGTCCAATACATGAGTTTTTTCAGTCATTAAGATACATCACCAGGTTTTAGGTGAAAACTACACAAATTTTGAGCCATAGCATTGAGGGTTCTTTATTGTGCCAATGCCTGCTGCGACACTTGCGTCCAGCTAGATATACAGTTCACTTCACTGTTTTTTCCCCTACCTGTTCACACACTATTTAATATCTTCTATGGAGAGCTATACTTTGATATTTTCCCTACCTGTTCAAAATCTACCTGGTAGTCTGTTCCAAGGAGAGCTACTCTTGACTATTTTACCCTACCTGTTCACACACTATCTGCATGGTAGTCTGTTCTATGGAGAGCTAAGTCCTACCTGTTCACACACTATCTGGTTGTCTGTTCTATGGAGAGCTAAGTCCTACCTGTTCAAACACTATTTGATAGCCTGTTCTATGGAGAGCTATGCCCTACCTGTTCACACACTATCTGGTAGTCCGTTCTATGGAGAGCAATGTCCTACCTGTTCACACACTATCTGGTAGTCTGTTCTATGGAGAGCTAGGAATGGGTAGCAGGTCAACAGACAGTTGTCAGCAGTAGCTGTCACCATCAGCTTAAAGCTACAATAAATAAATCAACATCACATAGAGATGGTGTCTTGATGTCAGGTGTAAAATTCCCCCCCCCCCCCCCCCCCAAAAAAAAAAAAAAACAAAATGATTATAATTTTTGAAGTTGATTGTTCCTGAGGTGACACTGAACTCTCAGTGAGCAAAAGATTATGTTTGTAACTCACATTTTTCCATTGCCGTCAATAAACTTTATAGGTTCACAGAAGGACACTGGTTTGGGACTAGAGAAGACAATTTTACAGCAGAGTGCACACGGCTCAATCTGGCCATCATCTCCATTACATGGTTTTATCACAGCTGCAACAAATAAAAACAATGTAATTATTTCTGTCTGTGCTCTCAAAATATTAAGTATATTCATGTAGTGTTAAGAAAACATTTTTTTTTCTATCATTAACAGCTACAATTAAGAATGAAAGACTGATGATAATACAAATAAATGTAAAATCTATTCTTTCCATACCAAACAAGATAACCCTCTATATAGATTGTCTGTACAGTACAGTAAGTTGAGTTCTAAGACTTACATGAGCCCTCGGGCCAGCTGACGGTCAGAGGAGTTATAATGCTTCCATCCTCACTCTCTACTTCTGGTAACTCCACAGCAATCTCTGTAGCCCTGTATAAAAAGAGGTCATTTCCATGTAAACATAATGGATACTTAATAAATATCTTCTAAAACTGTCAAATTTACTGTATGTATACATGGTTAAAATAGCAGGCTTCATATTTTAGTGACCTTGGAGCAGACAACGATGCACTAATTCGTGAACAGCACTAAGAAATCATTTATAAATACAATACACGGGATGGACGTGTAGCACTAATTCATGATTATTTGACAAGAACTCCATACCCAGTGATTGCACTAAATTTTGAATACACCAACTTACGTACATTTACAGTATTATTGAATATCACAAAGTAAGTAAATCAATTATTATTTTAAAAGGTATACTTAATCTAAATACTCATTTAAATTGATTGATGTAGATGAAAGCAGACACTTCTTTTGTTAGGGAATGTATCAACTTACTTTGTATACTGGGCAGCCAACACAGTGAACTCTGTGCTGACCTCTGTGAGAAGTGGGACAGGGGTCATCACTATGGCAAGGGGGTCAAACCAGATCTTGGGGGACTTCATTTCTCCAATCACTTGGAGGTATTGGTAAGGTTTCTCTTGATTGTCATTGATGTAGATGGGGATCACACACTCATGTTTTCCTGGCTTTTCTGAAAATGGAAGTAAAAATATTGGTTACTGATTATACCTTTCATCTGTCTGAAATAACCTTTTCTAAAATTCTAATTTTACAATATAGAAAACTTTGAATATCTTCAATTCAATTTTTCCCTCTTTTCAACCCCCCCCCCCCCCCCCCCCCCGTTTGAGTAAAATCAGAATACTGAAATCCAGATGTTTTTAGCCAAGTCCAAACATGTAATTCCCAACACTTACTTGGACAGAATATAACAGAAATCTGCTGTGTTTTCCCAGGCTCCAAGGTTCCCTCGATACCTTTACTCTCAGCCCCTCCCATGACTACAAAAGGGACACCAGAGGAGTGGGTAAACTTAAAGAGCCCCTCCTCTAAAGCCTCCACCTTCTCTGTCAAATTGAACAGCCATTTCAGGGGCTTGTCACTATTGTTGACAAGAATTGTGCTCTGAAAAAATCAAAGGAACAATTTTCATTATAAACCTTATCTAAGAATGAAATTATTTATACTTACGGTTCTTTTTATTTTCCTTTCATTACAGTAATAAAACAAATAAACAAATAAAAGAGGTCACTTAAAATCCAAACATAGTTGAAATCTAAGCTGTCTGATTATCTTTCCTTTCAGTCCTCTTAGTATGTTATAAAGTATAGAGGCAGGATTGCTGTACATGTATAAGCAATATTATTATTATACAAGACTTGGAATTCAAATGAAAATGATTAACAATCCAAATTGTATATGTGTCTCAATTTCAATATACTAAATATTTGTTTTTAAAACAACTATTGAAATAGGGGTATAAAGTTCTATTAAGAAAGCCTTAAGAGATCTATAGAAAGTATTCAGATACAATTAGAGAAAAGGAATTATTCATTACAACTAAAGGTATTTTAACAGAATATTTATAATATAAGCTATCAATTAAAATGTAATTGAGGGTATAATTATGAATTGACATCTAAAATATATATAAATAGCACAGAACAGTACATATATAGAATATCACTGTCCAGAGTCAAATTGAATGCATTTTTTCAGTACAAAAATAATACAGCCTTCACCAGCATGAATTTTTCTGCTTGATTTGGTTGCAAACATTAAAGCTTTGATGTCGAGTTCGCACATCATAAAAACTTTCTTTGTTATCAACCATGAATAGTACAATCACCGTATTTCTTGCTTATTCATTTGTGATTGATTGAAAACCATAAAAATTCAACTTTAGGAATGAAAGAAGTGAAAATTCTTTTTATTTAACATCAAAAAATTGTATATATATATGCAGTCAAACCTCAATATCTCAAACTCGATGGGACCAAAATATCAGAGGATTTGAGATAGAGAAAAAGTCGTTAGGACCGCCAAATTACCTCGATATATCTCTGGTATTCAAGATATCAGTGTTTGAGATAACGAAATTCAACTGTAAATACATCAAAGCTTCCTGTTGCAAAGTCAAATGGCTGATGCAAGAAAATAGCATATATTTGCGATGGATATTTCTGGTATAAGTGTGTATACATATATATATATATGAAAGCAATATGATAGAACTAAAGCATATATTGGGAATGTATAAAAATGACTAACAAGACATTTGTTACCTCCATCATTTTAAACTGAAAACGAAAAGGATATAACATATCATAAACACCTTTAGTTTTTAAACAGGTACCCCTCCTACTTTTCCTACTTTCAAAAAAAAAGCAATTTGAAAATCTCAAATTAAATGTGCAATTAAAAAAGTGCAATTGGCCAAAGAAAATAAATTGTCAGTGAACTACTGTTACTTCTTAAAAAACAAATTAAAAAAAATTCTTAAAATATGAGCACAAGCAGAAAGAAGAATTTACCTTTGTGACACCAATGCCTGTTGAAGATGTAGGATCTTCAAATGTTGCTGGCAGAGAAAACTCTATCTTATTGGTTGACAACTGAAGGGGTTGTCTCAGCGCCGTGGCGATGACATGTTTCCTGGGAGTGGCTACCTGGGGAGGTTGTGGGCGGGGGTTTATGATATGCTGCAGGCTGTTCTTATTGGACGGGGCTGGAGTGGGAGGGAAGGGAGTGGGGGCCGGGGAGGGGGCTCCAATCTGATTGATGATGACTGGCATCACAAAGTCATAAGCTGCTACCTACAAACCAAAGCTAAATAATCATAATCTGATCCTAAATACAAAAATATATGTTAACATAAATAGATTGCAAGTTCAAGCTTGTAGCCATGAATTTACTTGCCAATGATCAAATGTGATGTATACTGAAAAATTGCTATATCTAAAAATATTATGAAAATTTGACATTATTTTGCCTATTTTTATTTACAAGTCATAAGAAACTGTCCTTAACATTCAAATTGTTCAAGGTATAACATATGCAGTATGATACATTCAATATTGGTAATTCTAAACTTTAAAATCACATCCTATACTTTTATGGGAAAAAGTATGTGTTAAACATAAAAATAATTGAAATACTTTCTACATAGTTAAGATATCAGTTATAGTACCTCTGTAGGCATAAAGATCAGCTCCCCTTCAATGGTTTCCTCTGGTGCCATGGTAACGGTAAACATGCCTGGATTAAGGAGCTGGTAGCTGTAATCATCCTGTGTCTGGTAGCCAGGAAAATTAAGAGTAAAGTCCCGGTACCTTGTCAGATCAAACTCCAACTTACACTTTGTCACTGCCTGTGTGAATAACAATATGATAAGTATTAATGATTAAAAAAAGTAGATCAACACTGTACTTCGCAAAAATAGCAATAAATTTATGTACTTCAAACATACAGATCTGTATAAGAATTTCAAAAAAATGAGAAATACATGTATTGATACTGAAGAAAATCATTTCAAAACACTATATTACAGGGAGATTATTCTTAATTTTTTTTGGAAGCATATTTCTGAAACTTCTGTATGTAGACAATGTTACAATGTAAAGGGTGATAACTCATACTCGATTGGTCAATTTGAAGGTAATAGTAGAACCAGATCCACAATATACTCCACTGAAGTCAAATGTTGCCTGAAATTACAAAAACAGGATAAGCAGGAGTAAATTCTGAAAAAAAAATCAAAGTATGATCTTCCATATGATGAGATCATCAGGCATCTCATCAATCAAAAACAGAGAACTTTACAAAGATCTCTTTATATGTATAGACTATATTTTCATTTCTAATAAACAACTATGTAAGTAATGTTCTTAAAGTTCTTTAAATAGACTTCAAGTTTTGATTACATATCCTCTATCCTCACCACATCAATATCAACAGTGGGTGGTTCTACGTTGCCTCCCATCCTCAACTCCAGGGTCTTTCCCCCTTTGATGGCCACCTGTATTTTGGTGTCAAACTTAAGAATAGCAGCAGGGGTCAGTTGGACCTTCAGTTCTGCATGTCCCCCTACTGGTACAACTCCGTGGATGGGGCTTACCACCAGACCATGGAAGGGATTGGGGTCTAGAACCTAAAGAAAAGGGTAAAGTACATTCGTCAGTTAAAGTTAAGGTTTTAATAGCATTGCAATGATTGTGGCTGCATAAAAACAATTCATTTTCAAATTCAACTGAACAAACAACTTTAAATATTATAATCTTATCTGTTCTCTCATTCATTTAGCTGGTCAGGTTGTGCTCTTTAATACCAACATTCTACATCAAGTTAATTAAAAATCAAGAATGTTTATTATCAGATTTTTTCTTAATAATTGTAAGATAAAGCGTTTGATAAACATTAAAACACTGACCTGGAAGTAGGCGTGGGTGTGACCTGTATTGGCCAGCAGTGCTGTCCTGGTGGTGGTAATGTTGATGGGGGTCTGTCCAAACATGACTCTTCTCTCCACAAACTGGACATTAGTGGTCCCCAACTGTCAAGTGTTTGAATATAACCTTCAGTCTATGATTATGAATTACAAACAAATGATCAATTTCTTTGACCCCTCAGACTGTTTATTTCAACAAACTGCAAGGGCTTTTCTTCATTTCCTGCATAATACACACTAAATGATTTTTGATTTTTTTTAATAATGATTATTTCCTTTAAAGAACAAGTTTCACATTTATAATCAATGATAGCAGTAGTGAATTTAATTGATTTATAAAAATCAATGAATTAAATGTCTTGGCATTAAATCCTGACATACCTCAGCTCGACACTGAAGCTGTAGGGTGGGACCCCCGTGGATCATCAGGGAGAAGGACCCATCCTCGGGGGCCAGGTAAGACGGATGCCACACTACCTCACAATCCAGATCCTTGTAAGAATCCACGGTACCTAAAAAATCACAAACAAAACATTTATACTATAAAGAGACAAGTGCAATAATAAGTAAAAACTCAGGGAAGAGAAAATAAAGACTTTACCAGTAAATGCTTCCCAAAAAATATAGGAAATCTGAGAGATGTTTAGTTTTCTTGTATATTAATGTTTCATATGAAATGTCATAAGGGATCCAATGAATACAAAACTTTTGAACTCAGCAGAGCTAAACATCCATTTAACTTGAATTATATTGGAGAAGAAGAAGAATGAAACTGAAAGAAGACAAGTCACTTAAGAATCTCACCTGTGGCAGGTCTTATGGAGAAGGCTGTCCCCTTCTCTCCCAGATTGGGGGCCCAGGTGAACTCTGCTGGGTAGTTGAGAGTGTTCTTCAGAGTTATTACTCCCCTCAGACCTAGAGGACAAAGAAGACCAAGTCAATTCCTTCTCACGGCAAAATGAGGGTAGTGACAGAAAATATGTTGTCAAGCAGACCATATGGTCAACAGTAGTAAGTTGAAGTGTCCTTTCAAATTATACATAACTTTTCCATGCATAAACACCACACAAAGCACACATGTACATTGTAGGTGTAGACAGTCAAGGACTTTTGATATTCTATGTGATCTCTGAAAGAATGTTGCAGAGGAGAAAGAAATACACATTTAAACTTTGATTTTTAGGAAGTGTCTTGTTGGATTGGATTACATTCCTTGGATTACCAGGATGAAAACTCACCAGCTTCTGCTGGCATTCCATAGGACGGATAGAGAACCAGTTCTTCTGTGGAGAGTTCTAGTGCCACGGCAACAACTTCTGCTACCACGGTAACATGATGCTTGTAGAATCCATTTATTGTGTATGACACTGACCTAAAACAAATACCAACACATTAAATATAATAACTGTAACACATGAGGTTTGTGCCCTATTTAGTCTATGAAAATTTTATGTCTTTTAAAAAAAGGTAAAAACCTTTCATGAAGGCAAAAGGAATCAGCACAATATATGTTTATTTATCTGCCATTCTTCAGGCAAAAATTTCCTCAAAAATCAGTAATATGTTTATTGAGGGTTACTGTATGTGTACTTTAAAAAGTGGGCTTCATATTTTAGCAGCTTTGGCGCGAACACCGATGCGCTAATTCATGAATACCGCTAAGAAATCATTTATAATTACAATACACGGCACGGACATGTGTAGAGCTAATTCATGATTACGCCAACTACTCCATACCCAGTGATTGCGCTAAATTTTGAATACGCCAATTTATGTACATGTACAGTATGCCCTAAAGCTGAGGCAAAGCAAATTTGTCTAAATCTTTCACAGGAAATTTGAAATGATGAAACATTGCTTTAATTAAGACAATACAATGATATGGAGTCATTTTACTGCCCAACAAAGTGGACAGCATAGCAGGCAGAGGATCTATCAGTTACCTTTGGAATTTTCCTTTCACATTGGACTCAAACACAATGGGGAGATGGGCTTTAGATTTAGGTGGGACAACCTGAGAGAGTGGGCTACTCTGGCGCAATTCTCGACAATCAATCTGAAAAAAAAACCCACATATATAGATTTTTTGATTTTAAAACTTTTTAAAACACATGTACTGCATATATTATCCTGAGTTTTATATTTCTCTAAATTGGAAACTGTCACATATTTTTTGATCAACTAATTATCAATATTGATGTATAAACATGTACCACTGACATTAGTAAGCTTAAATAATGAAAAATGGTTACAAGTACTTCAGAGGTAAGGGAAAAAAATTCAATAAAGAATAAATCATCATGAATGAACTTCAGTAAAATTGACTACAAACTATAATGGATAATCCAAAATAAGTTTCTCATATAAAATACCTCTGCCACAATATGTATATATTGGTCCAGATTGTTGATAATGCTGAGATTTCTGGTAACAACAGATCGCAAACAGACTTTATCAAAGTCAAGAGTTGCGGGCCCTACAACCACCTGGTGGAGCTGCTGTGGAGACAGCCATTTTGAGCAGTCTGTTTTCTCCACCTTGGTTGTGGGTACAGCATTTAAACCCTCACATACCTGTAATTGTAATAAGACAGTCATTACAACTTTAAAGAATTTTCAGTCAGTTGGCATGCATAACTTCAATATAACTTTTTTTTTTACAATTAGCAAGTCTCATGCATGCGCAATAAAATCATAAAGAAGGAGCACAGAATACTTTTTTTGTATTTTGTTAGGGAGACCTTATAGAATTTTAAAAAAATATGAGTATAAAAATACTGTAATTGTGTCAATGGAAATTACTCTACTTACAGATTTGGCAGTTGTCTCTTTTTCTGCAGCACTCAGTTCTTTGGAACTCAGCAGTCTGAAGTCAGCATTGGGAGGCCTTGGAGCTTCAATGAAAAAATAAATCAAATTCAAATACAAAATTTTCTTGATAGATGATTATTTTGCTTCTTTTTGCTTTTATGGAAAAAAAAAAACATTTTGCAATGTCACATACTCAAAAAACTTTTTAAAAATTAAACAATGTGAAGCACAATTTTAGCTGAAATTGGAAAACACCTGTTGGTGGTGACTTACTCTCTGGGTCAGGCTGAATTTCTTGTTGAGTGAGGACTTTGGGCTTCAGACCAGCAGCGGACTTTATACCAATGTCAACACTGTTGTTTGTGACTTTGAATTCCCTACAAAACAAACAAGTGTCAAATCAGTATCAAATCTGATTATAATAACAGGTAGAAAACTATAAATTAAGGAAATAAACTATTACACATAATACAAAGTCAGAAGTGGCAAACAAAGAAGCTTGATTCATAGAATCAATGCATTTTTCATTCACCTTGTAACATTACACTGTACATGAATTAGTATCAGTTTTCAAGAATTAAAAGATGATGAGGCTCCTTGCCTTCATATTTTTAATATGACAGATCTCCTGACAAAAAAAATCCATTAAATCTTTTAAAAAAGATAAATTTTTTATTAACATTCTATTACTGATTTAATTCCTTATTCTATCATACATTTGACAGATGGTCACGGCTGGCTTACTTTGCTTTGATACGGTTGAGTCGTTTCTGTCTCATCTCTCGCAGCATCATGACATAACTGTCACGGTGTGTGTGTTTAGCCCGGCCTTCCTCAGCATTCATCATGTAGTCCGGGTCCTTATACACATGTCTGTCAGCCTGAGTGAAAATTGTTCTGAAATAAAAAAAAAAAAGACAAAGGTCAGATTTTAAATCAGAGTAAACATTGCAAGTTGCTTTGAAGAGAATGCAAAGATATGAGTGAAAAAAAAACTGACTTATTGATTGATATATTACCAAATCAAATAAAGGAAGAATTGTTGTAAATTAATATCTTATTATAGATTCTAGAGCATGAAGGGGTTGGAGCAAGATAGAAAAAAATATCAAATCTTCAATCTTCCAAAATCATTTAAAACGAGATTTAAAAGGGATTTATCTAAAATATCAATGCTTGTTAACCTAGTCTAAACTGTAATAAATTTAATACTAAATTTCACTGTCCTGTTATGTGGGATTATTTTCAATTAACAGTTAGATTTTGATGACTTACTTGTATTTGTCATGCTCGGGTCTAATACTCTGTGCTCGATCGTTTGGGAATGCCACTTTGGCCTCTGGGTCGTCCTCATAATAACTCACTTTGTGCAGCTGAGTTTTGTGTCCACCTGCTACTGCATTTCTTGGGTTGCCGTCAACTTCGGACATCTTAGTGTCCGCAAACATTCCTACTTCATTAGTAATGTACGGAGTAAGTCCTAAAAGAAATATTTGACGATATTTTATTTTCTGTATTTTACAGTTCAGTGACAGTTTAGGTAGAAATTCAACTCCATCCTAACTTTAAAATCATTGTGCAAAGATATCTGTGGAAAAAGTTGGCATAAATAAGCCAACCAGGGTGACTAATCCATTTCAATGCATTTAAAATATATATTGACTACCATATGGTTTAAATCAATTAAAAGCAGATGAGATTCAAGTACTCAGAATACTGCAGTGCCTGTGAAATGTAAATTAAATCTTAAGTTGGAAAATTGTATGTACTCTTTTAACTGATTCAACATCTTTAAATAAAGATCACTAAAGACTTGATACAATTTGTGGAAATTTCCAGTGGTTACCTGGGTTGAACCTGGGTTTTCTTTCCACAGGAACAGGCTGACTGGACCCCGAGAACAAGATTGGGTAGGTGTGAATCACTTGTAGGTGGGCCAGGGTCGGGTTCTGATTGTCTGCCACATGTCCAATGACATCCAACATCTGCTTCGGCTTAAAAGACCCTATAATAAAAGATTGTCCAAACATCAGAAAGCTGGTTACATGAGTTCATTAAGTGAGGAAGTTTAAATGATAATAGTTTCTTCTCAGGGGTTACCTATAATATTTGGTGTTTTTCATGAATTTCCTAAAATAGCTTGGATATAATTCAAATTTTTTCCATTGATTTCATGGAATCCCTCATTATCCCTCTGATAATGCACAATTTAAATGATTCCAGAAATGTATAAGAAATAATTTCCACTGCAGATTTTACGTGCATGTTGTATGCTCTACCTATTTGATTTAGTGAGAATAATATGACATCCTGGCTTTGACCTACCTATTTGATTTGGTGAGAAGGAGAATATGACATCCTGGCTTTGACCTGGAGGGATTTTACCATTCACAGGATGAGTGAGGAAATGTGCAATCTTTCTAAACTGAAATATGGCAGGTAAAACGCCAGACTCATTTTTAATGGTGCACAGCACATCTGCATGTTCACCCACTTGGCATTCTCCGAAGTTGAATTTGAAGGATGGAGAGATAGTCAGAAGAACAGGGAGGGCAGTTCCTGTCATGGCTACCTCTACCATTGACCCTGTAACATGTGTAAACAATGATATAAATATCGATAATAAAATAACTAGGGCAAATGTTTTCAATTATATGCTTTTAGGTAATAGCATGTATTCAAAATATAATCTGACAAATTCATTTCTACCTTAAAAACAGGTAAACCATATACATGTATCAAACTTTTAAAGCATAATGATAGTGTATTCAATATTCAAATGTAACAAAATTCTGACCATCTTTAGTATTCTTTGAGCCTGTGCTGTTTTCTGACAAGTTACTTGATCCTATGATCTGTATTCGCATAAACAAGGCAAAGTCCTTTCTTGGGGGAGGGGTCACTTGGCTTTTCCATCCCTCCTTTGAAGCATTCCACCTACAAATTGTTATAAGCATGAGCAAAACTGGGGGGAAAAAAGCTTCTCTGGTTTGAATGTATGAGAACTAATCAAATTCTATCTTGCTTATCTCTATGTAATTTTTCAGTTGGGTAAATTCTGTTAATTTGTTATGAGTCTTGAGTAGATAATCTTACATGTAACCACTTGTTTGAATTTGATATGAAAAAAAAATCAGATTGATAAAATAATTCCTCAAACATGCTTACTGTTTTCTTTAGATTTATTTGGTTAGCAGTATTTTACCTTGGGCTGAATCTGAAAAATACTGGGATTTTCTCAAAAGGTTTCAGCACGCCTTGGTTTGGGATGGCTGTAATTAGAGAGGTGATGACGTTGGTACATCCCTGTGTCTTCTCTCCCTCTGTCAGCTGATCAGCCAGAGCATCGTTTGTACTGCGAGTCAAATCCACACCCTGTGGTTCACAGACACAGATTTAATATAAGTATATTAGAACCCCATTATCAGATGGTTTGTATAAAAAATGTAGAGTAATTTTCACAGTGAAATATTTGTTTGGAAAAAAAGGTTTTCATGTACATTATTTAAGGAATGAATTTAATAGCTACCCATTTTATACGGTATAAACTGGGTTGGGGAAGTTTACGCTTTATACACCGCGAAGTGTTTTATAATAAAGCGTACACTGTTCCAACCCAGTTTATACTGTATAAATTGGGTAGCTATTAAATTCATTCCTTATAATTTAATTTTCATTCATTTGGTGTAAGAAAAAAAGATGATTGTCCTTAAAAAATGACTTCAATTTGTACAAAATTTGAATGTAACGTCAGGCGGATCGATACGTTTTTGACGCAAGTCATTGTGACGTAGACAACCCATTTTATATGATATAAAGTAAATTTGTTATCCAATCAAATACAGCGTTACAACCAGAATTAAATTATTACAATATACAAAGCATTTTAATTTTTTAATGCTTTTTATTATCTCTACGATACTTGCAGTGCAAATGAAAAAGAAAGGTCAATAGTTGCACAACTATAGAAGGAATAGACCATAAATACAAATGTGAATTACTGTATATTGTAAATTACCATTTCCTGAGCAATGGCATCTTCATCTAACACTGCCACAAAGTTCACAGCTTCTGGGCCATTGTTATAGAGAATTGCACACTCTGTTTTATCTGAGCCGTAGTAGGCTTCACCGAACTTGACACAGCCTAGGGGCTCCTCTGTCTCCAAAGACAATACCTCAATCGCCCTGTCCACCAGAACACCCCGTACCATCAGCGATTTTGTCTCCTGACCCTCCAATTTTACCCTACAAACAAATATTTTTATACTCTGACTCTGTATGATCAATGATACTACATATCTTTCTTATATTTAGTGACAATAAAGTGGCAGCATGTGGCAAAAAATGGTAAAAAGCTTTGTGATCTTAAGGTAATTCTACTAAAATAATCTCATTACCATATTTAATACTGCTACTTTAACCTTTACACACAGAATGAGGAAGGTCTATGGGTAAGAAAGTATTGAAAGAACTCACTTGATTGTTTCATCTATTTTTCCAGCTTCTTTTGTAACATATTCAATCTGCAGAGAAAAGTGTATTGATAAATTATTATCATTTACATACATGCATAGGCATGTGCTTCCTTCATATGAGCTAATTAATTAAACCAAATCAAAGATTACACTTTAAATTTTCTTACTGGTATCTTTAAGTTTATAAAAAAAATTCTTAGAATACAGAGACATTTTTGCTTTCATGTTCTCTTGACATACCTTGATTAGTTGCACACTTTTAGGTGGTACAGTTCCACTTGTGGGCATTATAGCAATGGGTTTGTCCCCAGAATACTTCAGCTTGAATTCTCCTGCCTTGGATCCATGGTTAAATAATGATATTTCCTTTGATATTGTTTTACTGTTGGCGACTAAATTTCCAAAATAAACTTCCTCCTCAATCTCCAATATTGGTTGACATGGATAACTGAAATAATCATCTTTAAAATGCAACAAAATAAATGCAAAGGCATCTGGCACAATGTTATGATTACACTTAGGAAAGCTCAATGAATATCCTAAATAATGCTACAAACAACATGTCCTCTTAGTTATTTACAGGAATACAGAAAATTATATCTTCTTCCTCATTCCTGTAACACAATTTTCCAAAAATTATAATTTGATGCACTATAGGCCTAATCATTTTATTGCCCTACATATAACTGAATAAACATGAACTTTTATTTAAATAAAAATCAGAAGCCAGCAATTTCAGCTTTATCACTTATCCTTCAGCTCATATTATTATATGTATATTTCTATAAGGATGCAACCACAGTGAAATTAGGACAATTTTAACGTATTGATTCATATATAGATAAAACATACGCAATCAGAGGAATCTCAATGACATCTCCATCAATGGTAACTACAAGCCTGTCTTTAACTTCCTTTGCTTCAGTTGTTTCAAACTCCACCACGGCTGGTACACATAACCCCGGTGCAATTGGTTTGTTGGGATTTTTTACCCTCAGTTGGAAATACTATAAAAATTTGGAGAAATATTTTATTCTTCATTAATCTTCAACATGTTACTATTTTAATTGTCGCAAGTGTGAAGTGTTATTTATGTAATTTAATGTATGATTGTATTTACCTTGGTTTTTGGTCCATAGAATCGAATGCTCTTGCTTGTTTTACTGATGTTTTTTACAGTCACATTTAATTGATGCACGTTATTTGGCTCTGTGTCGTAAAATTCAACAACAGGTGGGGATATTCTAACTCCTGAAACATCCCCCTCCATGATGAACGAGAATGTTTTTACAGCATATGACCTTTATAAATTTAAAATTCCTCGTGAAAAGTTTATCGTTTCTTTTCGGCCATACTGTTTGAAGCTGTTGCTCGGAGATTTCCAAACCCTTTTAAGTTAGTGGTATTTTCGAATATTACTTAACATTAAAAATATGATAAACGAGATAAATTAATCAAAAATAGATTTCAAAAAACCTAAGTTATACCATAAACCAAGTTAAAGAATAGTTGGCATTTTTAAGTAGTCATGTATCTTTTACGAAAACAACGCTCCTTCTGTTGTGCTATCATGTTGCCATGTGATCCGCCATTTTTTGTAAACAAGTTAGAGTAACGAAAAGATTGTAAACATGGGGGTTGATTACTACGATATTTTAAAGCTTACAAGAAGTGCAACAGATGCAGACATAAAGAAAAAGTAAGAATTTATCATATATACTGTCAAATATTTTTATATTATCCATATGTTATTATTTTTCAATCGTTTAAAAATGAAATGTTTTCTTATACTTTTTGATTTGATGTGATAGAACGACTCGATGACAGTACATGTAAACTCAAAAACATTGAGAAAGGGTTCTTTTTCTATTTAATATTTGTTTGCAGATATGTAATTTAATCTTTTTTCACAGCTATAGAAAACTGTCTCTAAAATATCACCCTGACAGAAACGCAGGAGATCAGGATGCTCTAGATAAATTCAAACAGTGTGCAGAGGCATATGATGTTTTAAGCGATCGTAAGTTCTTTGTATTTTAGGCATATTAGAGGTTTTCAAAGATGGAAATGTACGGTACAGTGTATTTCCCATATATGATGTTAATGTTATATTTACCATTTTGAAGCTACATTTAAAGTAAGCACAATTACAACAATAAAATGGTAAAGTGTTTTCATTTCACCAGAAGTATACTGTGTACATTATAAAGGAATAGTAAAGTTATTTGATGAATTTTCAATATGGTGATGTATTTTGTTCAGAAATTGAATTTATATAAACTTGCCAGCTGTGTATTAACTTTTAAATATATCCCTCTGACGATATATGCTTTTCCCTTGTAAAATGTGACGGTTATGTAATAAAATGTGTAACATGTAAGAGTCAACCATCATATATACAAAATTACCATTCTTATCGAAGCAGAAATAAGGGCTGTAGTGAAATGCTGATATTTTTTACAGCTCGAAAAAGAGCCACATACGATCAGTTTGGTGAAGAAGGTCTGAAAAATGGTGTTCCTCAGGGAAGTGGGGAGTCAGGAGCCTGGACGCAAGGGTACACATTCCATGGAAATGCAGAAAAGGTGTTCAGAGATTTCTTTGGGGGTGATAATCCCTTCCAAGGTATGAAATCAGCATACAGTAAACCATATGGTAATCAAATATAGCTTGTTACATATGTGTATTACATAAATGATATACTTGCATGTACCTCATCTATCCTCTTTGTGCCAAGGCTCCATGAATGTTATACATGTACCAGTATTTTATTTGCAGTACAATGTATTTCTCATATTTAACTTGCCTGTTAATGTCTAAATTTGTTTTTTTTTCCCAGAATTTTATGACAGAGTAGATGGTGATCTTAGCATGGGTTTTGGTGGACTGCAAGGTAGAGGGAGAAAGAAGCAGGATCCACCCATAGAAAGAGACCTTGTATTATCTCTAGAAGAAGTTTTCCATGGATGCACAAAGAAAATGAAAATCACAAGGAGGGTATGATGGAATTATAACTCTTGTACATCACATTAAGCATTGTTAAATCATAGAAGTTGTAATCAATGGGTATTTCAGTACATGTACCCTTGATATTCATTACTTAGTAGTATTATTTTTCATTCCACAGTTTGCCATATCTAATTTCTTAAAAATAAATAAAATGCATTTTGTTATGTGTCAATGCAAATATGACACAATTTTGATAAACTGCTTGAGAAAACAATTTTTAGAATATAAAAATGTTGATATCAAGTGATAAATATAAGTGTTAAATGTAGGTTTTTTGTTGAAACACATTGAGTCATATTTTAATGATCATATAAGGTTTTCAACATATGATAGTGTGAGTTATTTGATATGTATACACATCTGCAATGCAGAAAAAAAAATTAATTATATCAAGTCATGTTTGGTCATTAAAGGTCTTTCTAACAAAATTTCAACTCATATACTAGTAGAGTCTCTGAAGAGTCTTTAGCCTCTTATATGGCGTATTTTTAGTACTCCCCATGAAAGGAAAAATTCTAAGATAAATAAAGAAATGGCTATAGAAGCAAGCTCCTTGCACAGGAATATAGTTTTCCATGATAAATTCAATTTTTCATGCATTCACAATACAGGTTATGAATGAGGATGGTCACACATCAAGTATAAGAGAGAAAATCCTAACCATCACAGTCAAAAAGGGCTGGAAGCCTGGAACAAAAATCACATTCCCCGAGGAGGGAGACCAGGGCCCCAACAATGTCCCAGGTAGGCTGAACATACAAGCTTGTGTTCTCAAATCTGCAGAAATTCAAAGCAGTTTTAAGTATTTTACAGTCTAGCTATTATAATCACAATATTTCTCAGTATATATTCATGTTCTTTGTTGAATGCTCCAAAGAACTTAGAAAATTTATGTTGATAAATAACATACCCAACTATCTTCTGAGTGTATGTACCAACTTTTTTTTAATTACAGCTGATATAGTATTCATTGTAAAAGACAAACCCCACCCTCGATTCCGCAGACAGGGAATTAATCTGATCCACACCGCCAAGGTTCCTCTGGGAAAAGCCCTGACAGGATGTACGGTGGAGATAATTACCCTGGATGAACGAGTGTTACACATTCCCATTAATGACATTATCAAGTAAGAACGGAGTTTAGGCACCCTTTTCAGACAATGTTTCAACATAACTGTCAAATATTTCTCCTAATAACATTGTGTTGTTAATGTCCTGATCACTAAGCGAGTTCAGTTTGGGCTTTTTCATAGTTATCGTTTGATCCATAATTTGCAAGATATGATTTGATTTTAAAGAATATATTTCTGTATGTAGAAATCATTTAAGAAGCATTAAAATCTGTATTTATTGCCATCATCAAATTGCACTTTCAGGCCAGGATATACAAAAATTGTCCCAGGTGAGGGGATGCCAATATCAGCAGATCCCCAAAAGAAGGGAGATTTAGTGATAGAATTTGACATTGAATTCCCCACCTCCTTGACACCAGACAGAAAGGACCTTATCAAAAAGGCACTCCTCCATTGAGAAAATTACTATCTAAATATAAACTAAAGAAGCTGGACCTTTTTTTTAACCATCTGAAAATGGAAAAATAAGAATTTGGAATATTCTTAAAACAGTGAACATTAATCTGAAAAATGTTTTTTTTTTCTTTGAGAAATAAAGCATCACTTATTTATAAAATATACATTTGTATATTTTAAGTTTTTGAAGCCATTAGCAAGAATTTTATAATACATGTTTACAAATACTGTGATCTTTGTATGTATAGATATATTATGAAAATAAAACTTTAATTAATTTTTGATTTTTTTTTATTTACCAGAAAAGTATATTAATCTTAAATTTTACAGGTAATATAGCATATTTAATTTAATAAATTGTAATAAGCATTCAAATTTATAATTTGTAGATTTACACATGCCATTAGATGAACAACTTTTCATTGTCTTTACACTGTTCTATACAATGAAGACAAAGTAGACTATTGATCATTATTACAGTATGTGATTTTCATATTTTACTGTGTATTTTTACACCTCTCTCTCTCTTTCCCCCTCTCTCTCAATTCATTTTACAGCATAAAATGCAGATAGAATCCATTTGCAGCATTGGAATTTATAAAATATAAGGTATGGTTTTCTAGTATTGCAGGACATTTTTTTTGTGTCAAAGTTAATACATAGGAATATATTTGAATTGGAAGCATGTACATGTACATAAAAAGAAATATTTCAATGTTTATTTTTAGCTCACCTGTGTTGAAAGCTCATGACCCTAGGGGTAGGATGGGAATCAAAGTTTTACATTGAAATATATAGGAAAAATCTTTATAAATCCTCTCCTCAAGAACCACTGGGCCAGAAAAGATGAAACTTATGGGGAAGGTTCCTGAAATTGTGTAGATTCTAAATTTTTCAAATCATGGCCCCGGGGGCATGATGGGGCCACAATAGGGAATCAAAGTTTTACATTGAAATATAAGGGAAAAAACTTTAAAATCTTCTTCTCAAGAACCATGGGGCCAGAAAAGCTGAAACTTATGGGGAAGGTTCCTGTGGTAGTGTAGATTCTAAATTGTTCAAATTATGACCCACAGGAATAGGGTGGGGCAACAAGAAGTATTACAAGGATGAAATCTGGTAAAGAACAACAGGGCCAAAGTTACTCAGGTGAGCGTGGTGGCCCATAGGCCTCTTGTTTTTGTTTTGTTTTTTTTCCCCAATAATATGTCGATTATATACATCACACTTGGGTAGAGTCATTCGCTTTCCATTTATAATGTACAATTTCGATCTGCAGTAAGAATCCATGCTTTACTGCCACAGTGTCGGTTGTAACACACCTTACTTTTTGTGAACTTTTTAGGTTAGCCTCGAATGTTAAACATTGACAAGAAACTGTTAATTAAATGAGGAAACCGGAGAATATAGTAAGAGTAATGGATTGCGTGTGATAACTTTGACCATAGAAATGCTTCACCCAAACCTTGTCCCCACGCTGGAGACCAAGCAAAACCAGGCTCGACGTTGACTCGTAGTCGTTTTTGATAGAATCATGGTTATAGACCATTAATCTGGCTTTACTAATCCCGTTTAAGACTACATCCACTTGAACGTCGAAGACAGAAAAACCTTGAATCTTAACGTAGAAAGCATAGGTTCCGTCGGTCGGGGCGGTGAAGATCCCTGCAGTCGGGTTATACCCTCCTCCCACGCTGTATATGATTTCATCAAACACCAAAATACCGCTGTTCCAAGTAGTGTTAGTAGAACTCATTCCTGCGCTGAAGGCAACTTATTTGGAAGAATCTAATATAAATAATTTAAAATTTACAAATTATCATATAGTTTCTATTAATTAGGATTTTGACCAAT